TGGTGGTCCATTCTCAGCACAGCAGAGACACTGGCATAGTAGTGTGTGTGTGTTCAAGGCAAGAGTACCTAACAAACTGCCAGCTTAGTGTTGGTTAGACAGACATAAATTTGGTTTGCTTTGCAGTTGTGATGCCAGAAGATGCCATTTCTAGATACAGACGTGTGCTGAAGGCCATGTCCAGGGGCATGTCCAAGGCTGATGCCTACAGTTATGTTGATGTCAATCGCAAAATAATTGTTGACACAGCAGCCATTGCAGAATTGCAGGAGGTGGATCCTGAATCATACTCCCAGATACAGGCTGTGTTCCACAAAGGAAGAAAAGGGCACACCGTATATGATTTTGCAGAGCAGTGCAGAGCTGCATTTTCATAGAAATCAGTGCTCAGAACCACAGTTGAACAAACGAAGGAAGATGGCACACTGCTAGATATTCATACCTGTGATTAAAAATGCGCTAAAACAATGGTGCATTGAACTTATACGATTACATGATTTGCACTTTGCACTGAATAAAATGTGTTGCATCAAACACACTTGCTTTATTTCATGCTTTTTTTGTGGGGGCGGTGGGAGGGGGGGCAAGAATTGTATTGATTCAACACATGTTAGCTTCATGTGCAGCTAAATACACATCTAAATTTAAATGAATCATGTAATTTTAAAGTACCTTTTTCTGTAATGTGAAGAAGAGGTAAGCTGAATGTTGAATACAATACTTTTAAGTACCTTGAAAGTTTTTGTGAAATTTGCAAACTGTCTTATTTAAAATTACACAGTTAGAATCAGGGGTGCGGGAAAAAATAGATTCTTAGATGCATCGCGATGCGGACGTGAACGATTCTGAATCAAATAACAAATGTCAAAAAATCAATTTTCTAAATATTTCATTTATAACGTGATGTTGACGGAATGTAAAAGGCGGAACTTGGAAGTGGGTAAGTGCAGCGCCCAGACAGTCTGTGATGGCACAAAAAACACTACTGGATGAGTGAGAAATCCGACCGGCTCCCTCTGCATTAAAAGCCGGGTTAAGTCAGGAGTCACAACCCAAATCTTAAGAAGAGCCATTTATCCTTTCAACAAAAATCAAACCAGCTTGGGAGTCACAACATTTTATGTCCAGTATGTGTCAGTATGTGATAATGTCCTAGTATAGGCTAAACAATATAAACGAGCGTGCAGATTTACTTCGCTCTGCTTTAAACTTTAGCTTTAGCCGCTTTCCTCCCCTTTCCCTCCGGAAACTTTTATTCAAAACTAGAGCAGCTTATTGTAAAATGTCTCTCAGCGTTCAACTGTTTTATGAGGCTGAAGTCGCTTCTCATTCTCCAGCTTCTTGTTCGGTTTTTCCCGTTCCGCCTTAAATTCTGACTGATGCACCGAATGTAAATGTGACACCATTTAAGGTGTGACGGGAAAATTGGAAAGAGAAGCGACTTCATCTTCGTAACTGTTTACTGTGTGACAGTCTCTCATTGCAGATTTAACGTACCAGGAAACCAACTGCACTGCTTATAAATGTGATTAACGCATTGTTGCTAGGTGACGAGGTGTCGTTGCGAAATGGGGCTTTCGCTCTATGTTGCACACGTCCCGTCTCGAAGACATTTTACTGATACAGCGATTCCCCTGCCCCACTCTCTACAACGAGACCAAAACCGAAGTCATAAAATCACTGAATTAAACGAGTAGGACGGCTGTAACGCGCTGCGTGGACATCCATTACCACTGGATCTTATTTCACCATAACTGCGCATTTTAACACAGATGAGTGGCAGCAGCGTCTCATGTGCTCCAAAAGCAGTGAATGAGAGTCTTCTAGTTCACTTGCCACATCACTTCCATTTGGTTTATTAATAAGAGATATTGGAAATAAATTCATTATTGATCATTACAAATACTTTGGTTTAAAAGCACCAAGTCACTTTAAATAACAACACTGAGTCACTTTAAAATGTATATTGTCTCTACATTCTGTATATATTCTGTGTATATTCTGTGTATATTTTGTGTATATTTAATATATGTCAGTTAGTTTTTCTTGCATTTTTATTTTCACTTATTTACTTTCTGTAGAGTGATTAGCTGAGCCTCACCACAAGCATTTCAATGCATAAATGTCCTGACATGTTGTGCAAATGACAAATAAACTTGAAACTTGAACTTAAAACTTGAACTCACACAGTGAAAAAATAGAAATGCTGTATAGAAAAAAAAGATGCATCGATAATCGTTTTATAATCGCATCGCAGCCTCTGAATCATAACTGAATCGAATCGTGAGGTGCCTAGAGATTCCCACCCCTAGTTAGAATGTTATCCACTCAGGTTATATGTTTAGTATTGAGTATTACATCTCTTAGGATTGCACCAGCATTACTGTTATAAGGACTCTGACTGTTCAGTTCAAGATTGTGTGTGGCCATTCTTAATGCTCATGCAACTGTAGTGTAAATGTGATTTTTTTTTTCACATTGTTGTGAATAAAAATAAATCTGAGCATATTTATGCATTGCAGTAGTATTTTTTGGGAATATGTTGTTAGTTATTATTACAATTTGACTATCAATTTGTTACTTATATATTTACTTTACTCATATGTACTTGTAATTAAAACACTGATCTCAAAAATCACCAATCGGTTGCTGCTAGTTCTTAAGTAGGTACTAGTGAGTTAATAGTATAGGTCAGATCATTTACTTTTCACTTTACTTGTGGGGTCACAAAGAATAATAGGCAATAGTGATATACAAGTAAATAATACTTCATTAATGATTAAGTAAGAACAGTAAGAAATTGATGGTCCAAGACTAGCCACCAAATACATTAGCTTTCAATGTTTTCAATGTTATAAGCATATAATTTGGTATGTATTTATGTGTATTTGATTTTCTTCACCAGGTCTGGCTGCCTACCTGCATTAATGGAGGAAGATCAGTGACTTGTCAGGACCTTGCTGATTTAAACCATGGGAAAAGCATAGGCCTTAAGAAGGACCAATGACTGAGAGAGTGAGAACCACTACACTACAATACACTATGCCTACCCTTTGTCTTAATTAAACTGCACAGCTTTTGTGTCCATTGAAGAGGTTCAATCATGTTTCTTTTGTACTACCCTAATTTGAAACATGTAAGAGGCATTATATTAGATCTATATTAGAGGGGAAGCACCACTTACATGTGACCTTGCATATTTGTCAGGTAAGAGCAGTTCAGTTGGTTTTGTTAGTGTAGTGCCTTCACTGATAAAATGGCATCATTTACATTATACAAATGTGTGCATTGGTTCCACACAAATGAAAATGTTTAATCAAATATGATTGTCGTTTAATTAAGTACTTACACATGTACATGTAAGCCAATGTACACATGTGAAAGCAACCATTTTTCAGTGTGGGGTCACCAAACCTATCCACATTTGTGGGTAAGACCAGGGACCCCTGACATAGAGGGCATTTAGACTGAGAGAAGATGGGTATAGTTGTGTTTTTTGTTCTTTTCTGTGTGTGTGTGTGTGTGTGTGTGTGCGTGTGTGTGTGTGTGTGTGTGCGTGTGTGTGTGTGTGTGTGTGCATGTAAAATAGTGTGACATATGATTTAATATACTTCAGCGGAGTGTGGAACGTAACATTCAGAATAGAAGTTTATCAGCATTGAGTAATCTATGAAGTAAGATGGTAACACCTGATTACTTTCTTTTTAGTTAATAATTAGTTAAGAAAACCTTAAACATGCAGTTACCACAATAGTTCATGATTGGTTACTAAATTATTACACTTTTAAAAGCAGTACAACTCATTATAAAGAGGAGTACGTGAAGAAAAACGTTAAAGTTCATGCTTGATTACTTATTCTTAACTTAGTAAGTACTTAAGCATTAGTTAAGAAGAGATTAAACATGTAGTTACAACAATAGTCAAAAACTGGTTATTAATTAAATACACTTGAACCAACATAGTAGTTTAATATAGTGAAGAGAAATTAATGAATAACTATGATGGTAATTCTTCATTACACAGTTAGTTAATAAGTACGTAAGCATTATATTTATAATATTATAGACAGGTTTATATTGCCTTATGCATGCATTATAACATGTTATGAATGTGTTCATAGACCCAGTATTCATAGAATGCATAACCATTATAGCATACAAGTAAGTTATAAATAAAGTTTCATTTAACCTTTGTGTGGTGTTGATGTTTTTTGTTACTCAGTGGTCTGGTGGACCCACCACATTATAGTAAATCAATACAGCCATAAAAACATATGTAAATGAATGATACAAATCACTCATGATATTTGCTTACAATATGGCTTACAATATGAATCCAACCTAATGAACCTGAAAAAAAGCAAAAAAGATACATCCTGATTTAAGCAGCGAATCATTTACATTTTAGTCTGTATAAATCTCCAATAAAATTTGTCATTTCAGCCTAAGCAACAGTCTATGTTACAAAACTGTATTTGGCAGGAATCCTGGGCTGTGTTTGTCTTCTCTGTGTTTAAACTGTATATGTGCGTAAGTTGTGTCCAGTCTGTTGTTGCTTGGTTTTCTGAGGCTCTGTCTGCACTTTCCAGATCACAGACTGCGTAGCAGGTATGCAGTGGGGTTGCGCTAACATACTAGTTGTACCCTTGTTCGTGGTGGATTTCACAACAGTACAGCACCAAAAGTTTAACAGGGTCCCCAGGCATGTATTCTCATTACAAGATCACATTTGACCATGTGAGACTATTGAACCACAAGCCTATAAACAGTAATCATGCCAATGGTTGCCTCCATTTCATGCTGTAGCTTATTTTGTCTGCTTGGAAATTTGGAGTGAAATTCCATTTAAGATTTTGTCTGTTCTTGTATATACTAAAGTTTCATTGTTCTTATTTTTATGTTGAAGATTAAATCCCAGAAAAGCCATATATCCCATAAAGACTATAAACACCATGTAGCCTACTGAGTGACTAAACAAAAAATAGCTGAAAATGAAGTGTAGTGAGACTACATGTGAAAAGGTGTCTGCTGGTGCTTTCTGACATCTCTGTACATGCCCATTGCTGAAACTACTGTCATCACACCATTGCACAAATGTGTTATCCTTATTCATTGTCTGCAAAAATCTGCTCCTCTACATAGTCATTGGCAAACATAATGATATTTGTCAAAGCCATCAGAATCAAAATATCCAGATGCAGGTCATTTGTAACTTCCTCATTGTAGTTCTTCACAGGGAAGATGCAGTTCATTGGGACCCCCAGTCTGTTACTGCACTCCTGCATCTGTAGGACAAACACAACAGACTTTTGTTCAGTACACTTGTTTCATTATGAGATTAAGACCCACATCCTTATTCCTGTATTTGGGGTTAATTTTGTGCCAAAAGTTGTAAATAAAAAAGAAGATCCACAGGCAAAATTACTTGAAAAGATATTAACGTAACGTTCGAGTGAATGCAGCAAGCAATGTAACTAACATTTGGTAGGTTATGAGATAGCAAACTGTCACTACAGTTGCTGCTATCACAAACATTAAATTATAACTAAATTATAGCCTGTATCTATATGGAGGTGCTCAGCTTTTTCAGTTTCTGAATGAAGTGATAATAGATCTAATAATAGATCTTCATGCTACGTTTGCTTTTCCGACATGGAACAGGAAAATGTAAATAGGAAGCCAGCTTCATTCTCATCAACTTCTATGTGATGACTGTACCCAGTGCTTCAAAGCCATTCTGGAGCTATTTTTGAGTGGTCCTTCGCTTTTGGGCTGCTCTTCTCACTAACTGTCTCTAACTGACTGCGCAGTTGGATGAAGACCTCCTGTGCTTGGCCAATTGATGGTCAAGTGAAGTTCCTTCCGCTTGTGGATAAAAGCCCCAGTGGGGTTTATAGGAACATTTAGGAGTTGAGAAAAAAGTCGGTAACCAGTGCAATTGCTATCTTGTTGGTGATACTGCTTTTTCAAAGAGTGAATTCTAAATAGCACTAGTAGGAGAACAAATTAGTGTCATCAGCTGGTTTAGTGCTTTTTCTTACTGTGTTTAATACCTTTTTTTTTTTACTGCACTTAACTTTATCATGGATTGGAATGTTATGATTTATTTAGCTGTGTTGTTGTACTATTTGTTGTTGTTATTACCAATGTCTGGTCTAAATTTCATGTCAATACACGCACTGGAAATATATTAATAAAAAGTTGTTGACGTCTTGAATACTTATTACCCCACTGTAAATCTATGTAGTGCATTCATAATGAAGTATGCAGCTTCTATGCTACATACCAGGAAGCTGCAATCTCAGCTTCTCTGCCCACATCTAAGCTAAGCTCATCATGCTATGGTGATTTTGTTCCATTCTGATTGCCTATCTGCATGTATGTGTGAATGCCGTCCTTTGCTTGATCTATCACTGGATGATCTATGATGTTTTAACCAATTTTCATTTCTTTTTACATTACATTACCTTCAGTCTGTTGGTGGGTCTGATTAATGAAATGTAACACGTTTGGGGTCATGTGTCACCCTGTGTAAAATATATATATTTTTTTTTGCAAACTCAACTAGATTAGGTCAAACAATACTGGAAACCTTTCAGTTTTCTAGCTGCGAGTGCTAACTGGACTAGCAGTGTTCATTAAAGAGATGAGTAAGCTAATGAAACTAGGCCTTGTTTAACTGCTTAGTTCACTGTGTTTTAATTTGCAGCATTCTGTAAACAGGCATGCTGAGAAATAAATCCAGATTCAGACACGGAAGCATTGTCTATGTACAGAAGCTTAACTGCCTTCATAACCACCGAACAGTCTGGTCAGCCATTATATGCCAATTTCATACCCTTTTTTAATGATCAAACATAGTCAACTGTGTTGAACCTCTACTGTTAATCTTTTGATTGTAAGTGACCACAATCAGCATTTTCTTCTAAACAATAGACACATCACCTGGCAATGATAGCTGGCAGTTGGCAGTGGCACTTTGCACCCTTTACTGCTATACCACTTTACATCTAGGTTTGGGATGCAACGGAATACAAGTATTGGGAATAGGGGGCAAATTTTGGGCACCAGGCACAGTGCACAGCATGAGAAAAATATTTATTGTTTATTGTATTGTATTTCTTTATTGGTATTGCGGTTGGTTGGTATTCATTTAAGGGTTAAACAGCTGACAGTCAACAAGGTAAATGTGCTTTGATCATTAATCTTGCTGTAGTTCAGTACAAATTAGGGTTAAATTTAGTCTCCATTCAAAACAATGCAAATAGTGGGAAATTCAAAAGGGAAACTAAAAATATATATTTAAATATATTTACAGTAATTTTCACTAAAACCGCTCAACAAATGGCTGCTTGGAAGTCAGAACTAGTGATTGGCCACTAACTCCCTTCTTTAGTAACCAAAGTAGTTACGTGATGGATGTGCACACTGGAGGATCAAACTGCTTTTACTGTTTTAAAGAAGGGGTTGGGTGTGGAAAAAAACAACAAAGATAAGCAGAACTTCAAATATGCTCATGGAAATGCAGTCTTGTATTATTTATTTGTATAATAACATGGAGTATCAAAACTAGAAACCAAAATCTATTTATTTCTGAAGCTGTTGGAGCATTCAGGGAAGGCACTGGTTAGTCAGGTCTATCATTACCTCTTACACCCCTGATAGGGAATACATATTCAGAATGCAGAAATTAAGTATCTGTATTCACTCCAAGCTACATTTTGAAAAAGCCATATTCAGAACAGTTACTTTTTGCCTTTTTTAGGAGAGTACTATTAGAATAGTTACCCACAAAGTTAAAAAAAAAACATACAATCTTTAAAAGAAACAACATCAATGCTTTTCATGAACTATTTAAGAATCACTGCATGGCGGGTAGCAAACATGCTTGTCAGACAGACTCTCAAGAGGATTAATGGCCTCAATCAACAGCCTCTTTACAAATACTAAAGTTCCTACTAAAGCCTGAGTAGACCTTCGATGTGGTGATCAGTTATTAATCTCAGCATTACTGAGCTCTGCTAAAGCCTGAGTAGACTGATAAATCAATGTGATGATCAGTTATTAATCTCAGTGTTACTGAGCTCTGCTAAAGCCTGAGTAGACAGATAAATCAATGTGATGGTCAAAATGAACAGTAAATGAATAACAGTTACTGAGTATTGCAAAAATAAATGATGATGTTTTTTTTTAAATACTTGTGTTTAGAACATATTTTTATATTTGAAACTTAATATATATCAAAAATACCAAATGTCAAGCTGAAATCATTCTTTTGTAGCTATTGTGAGAGGTAAGGGGAATTAAGTTGCAAAAATAATAATAATTAAAAAAAACAAAAAAACAATATGTCTACTTTACTCACCTTCTCCTTGATTTTCTTGCTGGTGTAGATCTTTTTCAGGTCCTCATGGACTAGTGGACATGCTGTATCCACCATGGGCATTATGACCACTTGGGGTATGTCTGTTAAAGAGAAGACTAACTGTTTGTGTATTTCAAAGATGAATTCTCATTTTTATTCTTCACCACACAGAAACATGAAGACTCACCCAAGTTACGAGCTCTTTCCCGAACAGTTTTCATCTTCACGATCACTTCATCAGAGATGATGGAGATTTTGTCTGCTGGTAGGACGCTCACCAGACAGTGAACTTTGTCCTTCAGGCCGGGGTTGCTGTAGTAGTATTTGTCCCTTTTGTCAAGTGGACTAACAGGATTGAACTGAAAAAAACAAAAAATGAAGTGTCTTGATATAACATCATGTTCAGTACTACACTGACTACATTTAAACACTTTTAAATTTATAACTTTATTACGCTCAGCAAAGCAGAGACAGCAGTCTTTTCTAATCATATATTACTGTACATGATATCTGTTCTGCTGTAATGTAAACAGGAAGCCTTATTTAAGCTATAACCAAACAGGGTTGCAGACTGCAGCCATGTGAACCAGGTTCTAAAGGAATATATAGTTTCACAAAGTGAAATACATTACACGAACATTCAAAAATGGATATTATTAATTTTGTGCAAACAACTGAGTTGACTGAAATAAAATAAATGGACTGAGTGTAAGTCAAATTTGTACATTTTCCCAACAAATGAATTTATTTTATTATCTTATATACATGGGAAATATGACTACTACAGCACCACCCTGCTTTATCTCCCTCGAATATTGAGCAATTACTACTTTCAAAATGAGCTATATATATATATATATATAGGATGAAAATGTATTCATTTTGATTCAACTAATACTAAGTGTGACAATAAGCACAGAGTCTGTGAGACAATAATCACAGAGTCCTGAGACCCCGCCTATTCATTTGTGTCCTTTGTAGTGGACACTTTGTTTCTGCCGCTATCATTTTACTCGTTTGAGTTACCCTAATAAGTCTTGCTGTATCTTAAAGAGGACATCCTGGGCTTCCCAGTGATACCACATGTGTTGGGGTAGGATGCTGAAAAATTCCACTTCCTGTTTAAACAAAATGGCCTCCATATCAACAAGCACATTTTATGGAATGAGAAAAGGTAAGCCAAATATTCTTTATTTATTGCTTTTTTTACTACAACATTCATATATTTTATTGCTTTTGAGGTTGTTAGGAACTGTTTAATGAGGCCTGAGAGCAGTTTATTTATTTTCAAAATTAAATAATAACCATTTTATAAGTGTCCACTATAGTGGACACTAAGATGATCTTCATGTCTTTTGCGGGCACTAAAGGTTTTAACATATTGTTTTAGGAGACAGAACAGAGGCAGAGAAGATTTTGTACAAAATAATTGAGGGAGATTCAGACTTAGATTTATCAGATGAGGAAAATGCTGAGGACGAGTTTAAGCCTGATGAAGAAGAGGTAGAGAGTTCTAATGAAGAGGCAGGTAGCTCATCAGATCAGATCACAGACACAGACCAACAGGAGAGCCGTCGTCCTTTGTGGGCCAGGACTAGCACGTATGTTTTATTTCATTTTAGGATTACCATAAATAATGTTTATAACCAGTAAAAATATATATATAAATACTGCATTGTTGAACTAATGGCAGCACAAAATACACTTGGCAACAGAAAGTACAGTAAATGAAATAACTATTAACTACATTACATTGTGATCAGATTGGTTGGAGTTTTAAAGTGAATAAAAATAATTACATTTCAGATGTATCAGATCAAAGTGTTTGGAGGTTAAATTAATAATAATGGTATTAATGAAATTTCATTAAACTGTTTATTCTGCTTTTCCACCAACACAGATTCACACCTGTGCTACCTAGGCCTCCTGATTATCAAGATGACCCTACACTTCGTGCAGATTGGAGTCCAATTCAGTACTTTTCCCAATACATTGACAGCAAGGTTTTTGAAGACTTGGCAACTTTCACAAATCAAAGGGAGCTACAGACTAGAGGAGTTTCTCTGAACACCACTCCACAGGAAATGAAAGTCTTCTTTGGCATATCAGTTCACATGGCCTGCCTTGGTTATCCCAGAATCAAGATGTTTTGGGCCAAAAAAACAAAAGTGCCAATTATAAGTAACAAAATGACAAGAGATAGGTTCTTCAAGCTGAGAAACTCACTGAAAATTGTAAATGACCTTGATGTGAATGAGGAAACAAAGAATACAGACATTCTTTGGAAAGCCAGGCCACTCCTTGACAGAGTGAAGCAAAGCTGCCTTAGGCTTTCAAAACCAGGAAAGCTCTGCATTGATGAGTAAATCATTCCTTTCACAGGCCGCTGTCCAATCAGGCAGTTTGTTCCAGGCAAGCCATACCTGACGGGCTTGAAGGTATTTGTCCTCGCCTCTCCAGATGGTCTGGTGCTGGACTTTGAAGTATACCAAGGAAAGAATACATTTAATGACAAAAGATTGGGCATTGGGGCAGCAGCAGTCCTACGTATGGTTGAATCTGTTCCCACAGGAAGTCAGCTGTTCTTTGACCAGTACTTCACATCAGTCAGTCTCATGGATGCTTTGCTGGAAAAGGGCTTTCCAGCAACTGGAACCATAATGAAGAACAGAGTGCCAAAGCCATGTCTGCTTACTGGTGACAAACAATTGCAACAAGAAGGGAGAGAAGCATCAGTGATGGTGGTCAGAAATAGTCCTGAGCTGGCTATCACAAAGTGGTATGACAACAAGCCAGTGCTAATGGCCTCTACCATACTTGGGAAAGATCCTGAAGATGTCTGTACAAGATGGTCCAACAAAGACAAAGCACACATCCAAGTGAGAAGATCAGCAGTTATCAGAGAGTACAATGACAACATGGGCGGGGTGGATTTATGTGACCGAATGTTGAGCTTTTACAGAATGTCAAGCAGGACCAAAAAATGGACTACACGAGTGATAGGTCACTTTTTTGATGTTGCCATCACAAACTCCTGGATCCAGTACAAGTCAGACAGCAAAGTCCTGAATCGACCTGCAAAGGAAACTGAACAGTACTTGGACTTTAAATTGCACCTGGCTGAAGAGCTGTTGGATCTTCCAGAACTTGACAACAGTGCAAGTGAAGGGAGTGAAGAAGAGTATGAGCCACCAATGAAAATGAGGATTCCACATCCAGAGCCATCTGTGCGTAAATATGGAGCCATGCACATGCCAGAGATGGTGGATTGCAAAGATGCAGAAAGATGCAGAAATAAGGGCTGCAGAAACAAGACATACATGAGATGCACCAAGTGCAAGATGTTTCTCTGCATTACCAAAAGAAGAAATTGCTTCCTGGACTATCATTGTTGAAAAAAAAAATCCTCAAGATATAACACGCAAACAAACGAAAAACTAACCAAGTTTTTAGTTCTGAAGAAGTTCAGTATTTCTGTAGATGAAATTAACAAAAATGTTCAAAAAGAATTCAAAAGCAGTGAAAGATTTTAGGTCAGCTGTTCTATACTTGAGAGTGCAAAAGACATGAGAAAGCAAGTCACAACATATGCAAAAGAAATAAAAGAGAATAAAAAAAAAACTTTAAGTTAATAAGAACATCTACTTTACCAACCTGAAAATCAACAAACAAAATGAATTCAGAATAAAAGTCAAATATGTCCTTGTTTTATTGTTATTGCTTAACTTGTTATATTTCACTGTTCTGAAGATTAAAACCGTCCTGCCGTCCACTATAGTGGACATGCTATAAAAAAAAAAAAATAATAATTTTTAAAAAGTCTAAATGGTAATATGTTTTATTTATGCCAAAAGATAGGAAATCACAAAAAATCTAAATTGCAACACACTTTTTTTCATTGGTTCTCAGGAGGATATATATATATATATATATATATATATATATAAATATATATATATATATATATATATATAAATATATATATATATATATATATATATAGGATGAAAATGTATTCATTTTGATTCAACTAATACTAAGTGTGACAATAAGCAGCCAATTAATTACATTAGCAGTTTCGTCAACTGCAAATGATTTCAAAATCCAGGACAGGAAGCAGGATTAAAGATGGAATTTGAAGACTTCTGGTCTAAGCCTGGTCATTGAATCACAGAGCCACTCTTGATTAGATATCTTTGGGTGGTGGACAACCCTTAACCTAACAGTGACAATATGTAAAACCCTAACAACACACTGACACACTCATACTACCCTCCAACACACTGAACTCTTAAAAATAAAGGTGTGGAACAATAACATAGAAGAGCCACTTTTGGCCACTTAAAGATCCTTTTTATGGAGTTCTTTTTGAAACCATTTTTGTAAATGCGTGTGCATGAAGAACATTTGTAGAGTGTAAATAACCATCAAGTAACATAAAGTTAGAACCTAGGATACCTGTGAGGATGGGAACTGGTGGGGTAGAAGATAGATTGTGTAGAATTCCAGTGGGTCTGTAATTGTATGCCTATAGAGTAGAACTAGAAAAATGGAGGCAATTCTTTTTGTATTAGGTGTACAATTACTAGTAAGGTAGGTTAACCACACAAAATGGCCAGTGAGTGAATGTACAATGTATTTATTGAAGTGGACAGGGAGCGTGAATGACTACTATAAACTGTAAGCATTTCATATGGTACACTCTACTCTATTTCATACAGTATGTTTCATATGTATTTTATATATCTCTATGCTGACAATACTCAGAATATAATTTAAAAATGGTATGTTCATCAACTTACTGTGTAACCATTTCTCACATGGCCCTCTAATATGTTGATAATATCATTTGTGTGGACCCCCTCTGAAGTCCCTGGTTCAAGACCCATGATGTCAGAGAAGACAAATGGATAGTAAGCTCCAGGTCCACCTTTCTTCAGCCTGTGGGTTTTGAACTGGACACAAAATAATAGAAGCAAATTTTATGAAAAGTAAACAATTGTTGAGATATTTTAATTACAGGGTAATATATATTGTCACTATTAGAACAAAACCTTTATTCTCCAAAAAAGTAACTTTTGGATCTATTTCTATTGGTCCATTTAACATGATATTTTGACACGTTGTTAATGGACCTTTCAATTTATGTAATAAAAATGAAAAATGACAAATATGGAGACATGGTTTGTTCAGACTGTGACCATATACCGTAATAGTCTCCTCTGAAAGTACTGGAACAGCAAGTACAGTTCTTTTGTTTTTGCTATATACTGAATACATTTGGGTTTGACATCAAGAACTGGGACCACACACCAGTTCAGTTAAATGGAGTATTACACTCTTTGTTTTGTGCTATTGACCTTCAGAATGCCTTGAAGGGGGGAAAAGCTATTAAAAGTCTCAGAGTGTGAACTAAATATTTAGCAGCCTTGTTTCTACCTTGATAGTGAAGCTTTTTCCAGCAGCAGAATCCGCCAAAGCAGCTATTGTGATGTGGCCTTGAAGGACGGTGTTGACAGAGTTGATAAAGCTGGACTTTCCTGCTCCAATAGGTCCATGAAGCAGAATCCTCAGCTGACTGACTTCTTCAATTCTAAGCTGGAATTCCTTCAGTTTTCTCAACATCTGTTCTTTGTTGGCTTCACTAATTAGGAAGCATATAAGAAAATTAGCTGATGCACTGATATAATTGGATAATTAATTATCTATTTTGAAAAAAGTAATGTCTGGTCAGTCAGTGGTCATACCTCCATGTTACTGGCCTCCATGGATTATCAAATTCTGTGAAAATTAAACTTATTTTTAATAGTGTGTATGTGCATAAATGCAATACCAAAAATTTCCAAAAAAGCCTGTGCAAAATGTAAATAAAAACAGAATGCAATTATGTGTAAATAGTACAAAAAAAACATATCAGATGTTGAAACTGAGAATTTTATTGTTTTGCTTTTCTTCCAAAAATATATGCCCATTTTTACTTGCTGTGCATTTTGTTTGATAATTGGTCATACAGCCTTCTGACTCCATACAGGTAAAAGGTACAACTATCTATCATTTCAGTTGGAAACTTTGGAAACCAGTTTGTGCACTTTAAAAGCCAAACATTCTTGATGAGATGCACTGGTGATTCACCTTAAGTGCCTTGGAAGAAATAGCTTTAGATCAAAATGAGGCAAGAGGTGGATAAAGGAGAAACGAGACAGTTGCAGATAAACATGAGTGTTATTATCAGCAAATCGGAGCATGATGGTCCTTATTCATCACAACAACATAACATAGAGCATTGATCTGACCACCTAACGTAAGAAGTACTCTGCATCTGAGTCATGAAACTTTTGTACAACATGGAAACAAGCAGAGATTGGAGTGCAAATGATGAATCAAGAGCATGAAATCAAGCATACTGCACTTACTGACAATATATATGATACAAACTTATGTATCAAACTTACAAACTTATGTATATAAACTGTTATATTTATGATGACTGGAAAGAATAGTATGTGAAATAAACAAAATGTCTGTTTTTTAAGATGGTAGAAGGATGTTATTGTGTAGTGTGATTATTTTCAGAAAATATCTTATTTAAATGCTTTATTATTGCAGTGATGCTTCTGCAATAGCTGTGTTTTGTATTGTTATTTTGTGGGTGGAGTCAGCAGTATAAAACAAAACACAGTGTAATATGTCTCTAAATGGAATGTGGAATAGTTGTGTATTTGTATTGCCATGAGCAAAAATATTACTATTGTTGCTGTTCACAAATCAACCACAAATCAAGCATTTTTTCAGGCTCTTAAATTTACACTCACTCCTGCCCAAAGTGAGTTTGATCGTACAGACACCCCAAAGATGAAACTGAAACTGAAAAAGGGCCGGTGTGTGACATTCTTGAGATCTCTACTAAACATCAAGATAAAACACATGAGGTTACTAGAATCTTTTTCTCAAGAGAAATGTCTGAGCAGCAGGAGACTTAAACTAAAGTCTCCTTCGTCTTTCCTTCTGATGGTTGTCTTGGAGAAACTACAAATGCATTAGAGCTCTTTTTTATTTTTCTCTCTTATGGCTTTAAGATTGATATTAGCACGTGTTTGTTAGTGTTATCATTAAACTTCAAATTCATAACTTTTTAACACCTCTTTTTTTCAAAAAATGTGTAGTGGTGATCGATCCATATGAACTGCCTTCAGCAACTTACCTGGGAGTGCAGGGGGAGGTGCAGGTGCTGGGGGAGCCTGGGGAGCTTGGAGAGCCTGGCGGGCCTGGAGAGCCTGGCGAAGCTGGAGACCCAGGCGACGCATTCGTAATGCCCTTGAATGGAAGGGGAATAAATAATAGGTATAAAGCAACGTTTGATAAAAAGGGGATTATTTACATTTGATTTACATAGACATTCAAAGTCTAGTGTCAAGTTTGTAACAATAGAAGAGCTCTTTTTGGTGCTCTATAGAACCATTTTCAAAAAGGTTCTGTAAAAACCTATGTACAACACATTTTCCATCAATCTGAAGAACCATTTCATCATGCTAAGAACCATTTAAGCATAAAATGACTATATATATATAGAACTCATGTTTCTAAACAGAACCATTTCTTTTTCCAAAGAACACTTAAAGAACCATCTTTTTTAAGAGTGTACTTTTACATCTACTAGAGTTAATATTAGTTGAAAGGAATGATACTTGTACTTGAGAAAAAAACACCACCCACTTCTCCACACATCTGTTTGGGCAAGTTGTGAACATATGGTGGAACCTGTATAAACTGCAGTTTTCAGACATTGTCCTCCTGTTTTAAAAACAATACAAACAAAACATTTGACATGTTATTATCTTGAAGCTGTACTGTTGATACATTACTTACATTAAGTAGATGTATTGTTAATATGTTACTTCCATTATGCAAAACATAACCTCACCCAACCTTACCCTAAACCTAACCCAAATCATGGCCCTAAACCTAATTTTAACCTCAATCCAAAACCTAATCCTAACCCTCACATGTTTTTGACATGAAGTCCTGAAGTCCAGGACAGACAATGGGCCTGGCAGCATCTTTTAGCAGAGGAACTGAAGTTTGTTAGGTGTTTTTCTTTTGTATTGAGGATTACTGGTCTAAATTAAAAGCTTGAAAATGACAGCTGAGCAACAGTAAAGCATTCTAGGTGCAAAACCAAAAGAACATTATGAAATTAAACCCCAAAAAGTAACTAACAACTCCATGGCTTTTCAATGGGTAAACTAAGTAAAAGGTAGATACTCACAAATACACTTTACAAGTAAAAGTATTATAATTTGAAAAAATGCCTTCAAACACACTAAAAACCATTGTTAAAGATCAGTGCACATGAGCAATCATTTTTGACTGCCAGTGTACAACTTACAGATCTCCCTTCTTGATTTTTTTCCACACAACCATGAAACAGTACCTCTGTAAATGACTAAATTCAGTTATTTAAATAACTGACACTCTCTGTATTTTTATTCCTTCTGACTCTGATACTTAGAAACATTTAAACTGTAGAAACTGATGCTAAACTTTAGCTTATAACCTTTACTTACCTTTTAGAATGCTGAGAAATGCAGCCTCTCAGTGGGGAGAAGTGTGGGTAATGTGAGATGTTGCTTCACCTCTGTAAGAATGCATGAAACTTGAGAGTCAAGATATTTGTATATCGCTCAGGCTCTCATGTTTTTCTTTTTTCTTTCACTTACAAAAACACAGACCAGAAGAAGCACATGTATGAGAGTAGTGATAAAAACTTGCTCACTAGAAGAGCCACAAATTAGAAGCTAAAAGATACAGTAAAATATGGGCAGTTTAAATAGCAATAACAGTAACGTAACCTATTTTACATCCAAACCACAAACACAACTTGGTTTGATGTCATATCTAGCTAAGAAATTGGGGCGGGGGTGGGTGGGGGGGGGGTTACCCAAGTTCAGTGATTATTCAGAGAGACAATATTAGTTAACATGTGCACTGTTAACTGTTACCTTGTTTATTAAGTGATAGAAATGAACAGAATAACAAGAAATAAGTCAGGCAATGGTAAGTCAAATCACAAGGTTGGCATATATGGATAAAATACCTGAAATTAGTCACAGAATATTCTAGGTTTAGGACTAATCTTTGGCAGAGGTGACCTGGGCCTCAGACATGCATGTGCTGGTGCATGATAGGTTGGTGTCATTCCGCTTATACGGGGTGTAGGTGTGGTCATTTGGTTTTAGAGGGGGCTTCTCATCAAGTTTCTCCGAGCGAGAGAATTGGTCATACAGCCTTCTGACTCCATACAGGTAAAAGGTACAACAACTATCTATCATTTCAGTTGGAAACTTTGGAAACCAGTTTGTGCACTTTAAAAGCCAAACATTCTTGATGAGATGCACTGGTGATTCACCTTAAGTGCCTTGGAAGAAATAGCTTTAGATCAAAATGAGGCAAGAGGTGGATAAAGGAGAAACGAGACAGTTGCAGATAAACATGAGTGTTATTATCAGCAAATCGGAGCATGATGGTCCTTATTCATCACAACAACATAACATAGAGCATTGATCTGACCACCTAACGTAAGAAGTACTCTGCATCTGAGTCATGAAACTTTTGTACAACATGGAAACAAGCAGAGATTGGAGTGCAAATGATGAATCAAGAGCATGAAATCAAGCATACTGCACTTACTGGCAATATATATGATACAAACTTATGTATCAAACTTACAAACTTATGTATATAAACTGTTATATTTATGATGACTGGAAAGAATAGTATGTGAAATAAACAAAATGTCTGTTTTTTAAGATGGTAGAAGGATGTTATTGTGTAGTGTGATTATTTTCAGAAAATATCTTATTTAAATGCTTTATTATTGCAGTGATGCTTCTGCAATAGCTGTGTTTTGTATTGTTATTTTGTGGGTGGAGTCAGCAGTATAAAACAAAACACAGTGTAATATGTCTCTAAATGGAATGTGGAATAGTTGTGTATTTGTATTGCCATGAGCAAAAATATTACTATTGTTGCTGTTCACAAATCAACCACAAATCAAGCATTTTTTCAGGCTCTTAAATTTACACTCACTCCTGCCCAAAGTGAGTTTGATCGTACAGACACCCCAAAGATGAAACTGAAACTGAAAAAGGGCCGGTGTGTGACATTCTTGAGATCTCTACTAAACATCAAGATAAAACACATGAGGTTACTAGAATCTTTTTCTCAAGAGAAATGTCTGAGCAGCAGGAGACTTAAACTAAAGTCTCCTTCGTCTTTCCTTCTGATGGTTGTCTTGGAGAAACTACAAATGCATTAGAGCTCTTTTTTATTTTTCTCTCTTATGGCTTTAAGATTGATATTAGCACGTGTTTGTTAGTGTTATCATTAAACTTCAAATTCATAACTTTTTAACACCTCTTTTTTTCAAAAAATGTGTAGTGGTGATCGATCCATATGAACTGCCTTCAGCAACTTACCTGGGAGTGCAGGGGGAGGTGCAGGTGCTGGGGGAGCCTGGGGAGCTTGGAGAGCTCATGTTATTGCTTTAACACAGACATAACATTTTGGGTTACACTTTATTTGGAGTTGTCCTTTGTAGATGAGTAATAACAGATTACCAGTAACACATCAACAACATATCAGTGAAGTAGCAGTAGTGAAGCATCTGAATACATTGAAGTAAATATCTTGTAGATGTACTGTTTATACATAACAGTACATCTACTTAAAGTAAGTAAATATGTTAATTCCATTATGCAAAACATAACCTTACCCAACCTTACCCAAAACCTAACATGGTGATAAGACTTGCTCACTAAAAGAGCAACAAGTGAACCAACAAATTAAAAGCTAAAAGATGTAGCAAAATATGGGCAGTTTAAGTATCAATAACAGTAATTTAACCTATTTTTTACTCCTGCACCACAAACACAACTTGGTGATTAGCACCTTTTGTCGGACCCGGAGAGGCCGCTGCATGTGTTACCATGCCGCCATTTTGGCCTATTCCTCCAGTTTCTGGTACAATGTATTATTTAGCCATAGTACTGTATTTAACCCAGGGAACTGACTTCTCTGCTCTTCATATGCTTTCCTTCAACCTGCTTTTTGTGGCACATGTATTTTGTCATGGTCTTGGAATGAAATTCGTAGAGCTAACCTTACATCAATTTCATTTGTATTCTGACTTAGTTACTGGTATTGTTAAAGTTTGAGTTTATCTAAAGTTATATGCAGATGGAATAACTTTTATTGTGGGTAATTTTTGTTTGTGTTCTGTAGGCTCCCCTGTCAAATCGTGCATCAATTGTCATGTAGGTTTTACAGAATGAATAATTTGCAGGACAAATCATTTCTAGTTATCACATTAAAGCAAAAATTGAAATCGAAATCCTCTATCAGAAGTCAGTTTATCATAATAATTTGGCTTTATTTAAATGATCTATGACAAAAAAACAGTCAAGACAAAGTTTATTTATATAGCACTTTTTACAACAGGTGTTATCACAAAGCAGCTTCACAGAGAATATGGATCCAGACCCAAATGTGCAAGCAAAGGGCAACAGTGACAAGGAAAAACTCTCTAATAGCAAAAAGGAAGAAACCTTAAGGGGAGTCAAATCGGAATCCATATCACATAATCCGTATCACAGTGAAACCATGAGCAGTAATGACTACTGTGAGTATGAATACGAGATGAGCGTATTATAACGAATATAATTAACCTAACGAGTATTATTAGGCAGGTGTTACAATGTCTATGATTAAGAGTCTGTGCAGGCAGCAGTAGCATTAGGAGGGTAGGTAGCATGCAGGTGAGACTTTCTGCACCGCACTGGACAGCAGGAAGCTGCCCATGGTGGTCAAGCTGGTCTAGAAGGCAGACAAGCAGGGGCACTTGAGCAAGGCAGATGAAGCAACAGCATCAGACCACAGAGAACGGACAGTTGTTCAACTCAGCAAAGAAGTACAGAGACAATTCTGTTAGGAGGGACTGAGAACAGTATATATTATTAACAGAGTACAAGCAGCAGTGACTCTGAGCTATTACAGCCTACAACTACAAAGACATGAGGGCTCCCTAAGATGTCAGCGTCCCTCCACTCCATCATCGACTAACTTTAGTGAACACATGAGAGCAGTGGGATGGTAGCATCGACATTCTCTGTTTACCATAATACTCTACATCAATGAAACCCCCAGATTTGCACCTTTTATCTGACAGGAATAAATAATTACCAAAGGCTTGACTAAACAAATAGTTTTTTGGCCAAGACTTAAAAACTGAGTCTGAATCCTGGACACTGGAAGGTTATTCCACAGCTCGGTAGCTTTGTACATCAGGCCCTCACGCAATTTTATAAATTCTATGTACTAATAGTAAGCCAGCACCTTGTGATCTAAGTAGGTGTGATGGTTCGTAATTAAAAAAATAATTGTTCATAATAAGAGATAAATTCACTCATTAACTAAGGGACAAGGCCGTTTAAAACTCTTTATGTCAATAAAAGAATTCTATACTCAATGTGGAATTTAACTGGCAACCAGTGTAGGGTTGATAAAACGGGGCTGACATGGTCAAACTTTCTGGCGCAGCGTTCCTTTTTGTGACATATTTACTGATGACAGTACCCAGTAGTAGCATATATAATGTAGTAGCATATATATAATTCAAATAATAGAGGTCGTAAAACAGAACCTTGTGGAACACCATACTTTACTACAAATAGATGATTCATTGTTTATATTTACAAACGGATAACAGTCAGGTAAGATCTGAATCACGAAAGATCTATACCTGTTACTTAGGTTGTCCAGTAGGATAGGCCGTAAGAGACCACTGAACCACAAGCTCATTATCAGTAAACATGCCAATGGTCATCTCCGTGGCATGTCATAGATTTTTTTTGTCTGCTTGAAATTTAGACTGAAATTTCATTCCAGATTTTGTCTGTTCTTGTATATCCTAAAGTTTTAAACATTATTCTTACATTTTCAAGATTAAATTCCAGAAAAAGCCTCATGCACCATAAAGACTATAAACTGAGAGAATAAACAAAAATAAAAGAAAATGATATGCGACTTCTGGTGCTTTCTGGCACACTTTTGTACATGTTATTGCTGAAACTGGTTTCATTGTGCCATTGCACTTGAACTTGTTATCCTTATTCATTGTCTGCAAAAATCTGCTCCTCTACATAGTCATTGGCAAACATAATGATGTTTGTCAAAGCCATCAGAATCAAAACATCCAGATGCAGGTCATTTGTAACTTCCTCATTGTAATTCTTCACAGGGAAGATGCAGTTCATTGGGACCCCCAGTCTGTTACTGCACTCCTGCATCTGTAGGACAAACATGACAGAAATCTGTTCTGTACACTTGTTTCATTATGCAATTAAGAACCACATTCTAATTTCTGCTGTTTCTCTACAGTTTATGGAGTTAATTTTGTTAATAATTGAGTTAATAATGTTTAAATAACATTAAGATCCACAATATTCCAAAAATTACATTTCAAAAGAAAAAAAATCAAATAGTAATGTTTTTTGCTTCTGAAATGATGCTTTTGCTTCTGGATCTTTCTTTTGCTTCTAACTTTTGGAACATGTTTACAGGAATTAGATCTTGGAAGAAAATGTTCACCTTTAATGTCTAGTGATCAACTGAATTGGAGTGACAGGTCTTTGCCACACCCCCTTTACAAACTGTGAACCCTATAATGCCAGGTGTAGTCAATCTGTTGTGTTGCACTGGCATATCAGACATTTTAAACATTCCATTTTTCATTTAAATTAATCAGACGGTCCAGGAATTCAAGTGAATTCATGCAAATTCAACCAATACAAACACAATATATGCCAGAACCCTTTTTAACTAAGTGTGGGCTGCGAGCACCTGAATTCTATCTGATCCTGACAGAATACTTCGCCATCATGCAAATCGCAGACCTCAATGTTGTCCAGATGGCTGTTAACACTCAGAGCCAGCTTCTACGATTTCACTCAGTCTATTGGTGAGTTAAAATCACAACAGGGAGAGCAACAGTCTCAATTGGCTCAACTTATCACCGGGGTTAAGGATCTGTCTACCCAGATTCAATGTATGTCTGGTAGTGCTCCCCAGTCTCCTAGTTCCCATGATGGTCTGAGCTCTTTTCCACTTTTCCAGTGAGTAAGCCTGATGAATTTGATAGAAACCCCGAGAAATGTAGTGGATTTTTGCTACAATGCTCAATGTTCTTTAGCATATCAACCCCTAGCTCTGTTCAGGCTAAAATAGCATTTTTGGTTTCACGTCTTTGCAATAAAGCTTTGGAGTGGGCTACAGACTCTTGCACTGTTTTTGATCACCCTTGTGAGGGCTGCTCTAGTGGTAAACTCCTATTCCAGCTTTGTCAAGGTAATCAGTCAGTATGCCTTGGAGTTCTGTACCCTATCAGCTAGTAGTGGTTTTAGCCGGCTTTGCTGAATGCTTTTCGTTATGGACTGAATTTTGATGTGTTAACAGAATTAGCATGTAGAGATGATGAACTGACCTTAGATCAACTAATTGCTATGTCAATCAGTCTGGAGAAACGTCCGGCGCTAAGAGAAGTTCCACCACCTAGCAGTCTACCCATCTCCAGTTCCGGCTTCAGCTCCAACTCAAGCTCCAGTTCCAGTCCCAGTTCAAGCAAATCTCCTGAACCTATGCAAAGCAAAATCTCAAGGCTGTCAAAAGAGGAGAGATGTCTCCATGGGGGTTTGCGTCTCTACTGCAGTGCTACGGGTCATGTGTTACGTGACTGTCGGCTTGCACACACAAGCATAAGGCGCCAACCCCGGGAAAGCATGTGGAGAATGCTAATGGGGTTGGTTTCGAAATCTTTTATCTATTTACTGCCAAGATTCTTTTCTTGTTTTACCAGCCTTTATCAACTCAGGAGCCGAAGGCAACTTTATCCAGGTGGTATCCCAGCTCAAGATCCCTGTTGAACCTCTACAGACCCCTCTTCATGTGTCAGTGCTGGATGGGGACCCGATCACCCAAGTCACTCACCGTGTCGACCTGCAAACTAGCTCCATGCACCTCGATCCACCTTTTTAGTTTGAAAATCATCCAAGTTTTCCATAGTGCTAGGTCTCTCTGGCTAGAGAAACATGATCCACAAATTTCCTGGTCCAAGAAAGAAAGCACTGACTGGTCCGACTACTGTAAAGAGAACTGTTTAGCTCTTCCTGCCATTTCTTTTACCTCTACTTCTATAGAAAGTCCAAATATAGCATGTGACACTCAGATCCCAGATGTTTACTCAGATCCCAGATGTCTACTCAGACCTGTCAAAAGTTTTTAGCAAGGTCAATGCTACTGAACTGCCACCACACCGCACCTATGACTGGTGCCATTGATCTGATTGAGTCTGCTACTCCTCCCAAATCCAGAGTTTACCCCCTTACATTAGAGGAAGAGAAGGCCATGGAAGAGTATGTTAATGAAGCATTAGCTCAGGGCTTCATCAATCCTTCTATGCCCCCCTCAGCTTCAGGCTTTATCTTTGTTAAAAAGAAGGACGGTGGACTAAGACCCTGTATAGATTATAGAGCACTCAACGATGTCACAAAGAAATTTACATATCCGCTTCTGCTAATTCCTGTCGCCCTTGACAGGGGAGCCAAATTCTTTACTAGCTAGACCTCCGCAGTGCTTATAATCTAATTCGAGTAAGAGACAGAAATGAGTGGAAAACCACTTTTGTGACCTCTAGAGCTCTCCAATGCCCCATCTGTGTTCCAATAGTTAATTAATGACGTCATGCGGGACATGAATGAGAACTTCGACATTGCATACATAGACGATATCCTAGTTTATTCCCCTAATTTGGAAACCCACATTAAGCACGTTCATCAGGTACTTCACAGGCTGTTGGATAATTAACTATTTGTGAAAGGATCAGAAATGTGAATTCCACCTGCAAACTGCCTCTGGGGTTGTCATGGATGACCACAAGGTAGAGGCTGTGGTTGACTGGCCCATTCCTGCATCAGTGAGAGAACTGCAGAGATTTTTAGGATTTGCCAATTTTTATTGTAGGTTTATTTGAAACTTCAGTTTTATCGCCGCTCCACTTACTGCTCTTCTTAAAGGAGTCCCAAAGAGGTTAGTTTGGGGCAGAAAGTCCTTTTCAGAACTCAAAAGAGCTTTCACCACTGTTCCCATACTTAAACACCCAGAGCCATCTTTGCCATTTGTAGTAGCAGTAGATGCATCAGAATCTGGATTCGGTGCCGTTCTGTCCCAGCATAGTGAGGATTCCCCAAAACTTCATCCCATCTTCTGAAAGCAACATTACTATTGTAACCATAGTTTACAGATTTTCTTGCAGTGTTCAGTTTGTTTCATTTCCTTCGATCCTCAATGCATTTCAGACTGCTCAGGCTATTTACCAACACATATTCAACAATTATGGTATTCCTGAGGATATTCTGTCGTGGCCCCACCTACTCCTTTGGAGGTGGATGGCTCCCCGGTCTGCGCCGTTCATGAGGTGCTGGACTCCAGGAGACATGGAGGTAAACTGCAATACCTCATAGTTTAGGAGGGATACAGTTCCGAGGAGTGATGTTGGGTGGCAGCCAAGGACGTGCTAGATCCGGCCTTGGTGGCTGATTTCCACAGTCACCATCCTTGAGCTGGGTGATATGGCCAAAAATGTTATCATGATAAACAAAATTTATATTGTTCGATATCGATACATATTGCGATAAAAGTCAAATCATTGTTTCTTTCAAATTTGAAGGCTGATTTTTGTTCCTGGGTGGTTAATTGCTGTTTTAAACCAGAACATGACAAACACTTGCCAAACAGTGGAACATTTCACAAATCTGTCATGGGAGAGTGGGAGAAAGTGTCTAGTGAGCTGTTTTTATCAGCTGGAAAAGCACGGCCGCAGTTTTTGTAATAGTCAAAATTTAAGAAAAAAACAGAGTCTTCCTTTAAGTGTGTTTAAACTGAAAGCAGTGTTTTTGATCTACAGTATCATCAATTCTCTTCACAACAATTGTTGTGCGAGCAACGGAGCGCTGCTTCAAGTTAGCCAGCTGCTAAAAACAACTAGCCTGGAAAGATAGCGCTCTCCTGCTTTCCAATGCCTCACAGCTTCCTCAGTTTACTTTCGTTTAAATCAGGGCTGTAAATTGCATAAACCCACTTCTTTCTTTCACTTTCGTTGCTTGGGAATGCACTAATACTTAAATATGACTTTTTGGGCACTGTAACAGCGCTTTAGTTGTGAAGGGCAGATGTGATTTAACGCTGCTAAAGCTTGTCCACTTTAGGACAGTACAGTACAGACAGTCTCGTCACTCACACTTGGTCACAGGAGAGCAGATCGCCGGTCGCTCCACTCAAACAGGGAATGTATAACTTCACGTTTCAGCCGTTGCTAAAGACTCATTTTACTCATCGCCCCCTCGCTCTCTAATCATGTCTAAAAACTTGGAAGTGCGCCCTCTCCTGGCAACAGCAGAGTAGTGTCGCTTTCCTTGCAGTAGAAAACACGACCAGGGCTTTCGCTATAACGTGGAAGTGTGAGAATGGTGTATTATATCCAAAATTTATCAAACATTTCTTATAGTTCTATCGAGAAAAGTTAAATCACTAATAATTATTGTTAGCATTTTATCGCCCAGCCCTACGAAATCCCGATAAGGCAGCGCCACGTCCCAGATGCCGTCCTAGGAAGTCGCTCTCCAGAAGACAGCTCCGGGGTTCCCCAATCCGGTACCTTTGGTCGCATGGGTGGTGGTTGTCGCGGGCGCCCTCATTCCAGAACCATGCCCGACTCCTCGTTCCCACTGTCTCTGCCTCTCAGACTCCATTTCCCAGAACTCCACTCCCGATCACACATCACTACCAACCTCCCTCACATGACTCTTCAAAGTTCTGCTTCACCTGACTACTGATCACTCTAAACTTGTTATGGTTACCCATTAGTTTAGTATATAAGCCCATGCTTTAGGTTAGTTGTGAAGTATTGCTTTTGTTATCAGAGCCTTACCAAGCTTTCCATTTTGTCTATTTGCCATTTCGTGTATGAACATTGCTTTGTTTTTCTTCGACCTTGCCTTTTTGCCTTGCCCTCTCAGTATTGTTGTGATTTCCGGTTTCCATTTTTTAGACATTGCTCTTTGGACTCTCCTCATGGTTACTCTTTCAGTGTATTGGTTTTAGACATTGGACTGGCTTTTGACTTTGCTTACGTTTACTCCCTTTGTTGATAAACCCTTTTTACCTAAGTGCGGCCTGCGAGCGTGTGAACTCTGTCCGAGTCTGACATAACCAAGTGACAGTCTCCTTTGCAGTATGTTACATATCATTGTCCTGCTGGATGGCTCACCCACATCTCATCATGTGCTGTGGATGGCAACAGACTGGTGCATGGTTAAATTTATCTTCCAATTATTAATTTGGTTTCAGCTGGTACTGTGAGAAAAAAAAAAAAACAGCCACATACCATGTACCAGGAACTTCATAGTATATATGCTATTTTTAGGATCATATGCAGAGCCATTTCTCCTTCAAACATGCCTCATCATATCATTGCCAAAAAGTTTGATTTGCACATTACATTCTCCCAGTAATCTACAAGCTTCTCCCAGTGTTCTGTAGCAAACTTCAAACAAGCTTCAACATGTGTTTTGTTCAGAAATAGAGTTATCACAAATGGACACTGGTGGTAAAGTATATTGCCTATTCTTTTCTCTGTGAAGACTGTACTCACTCGTTCAAAGCCATTCTGCTAGGGACCTGCAGACATTAGTTAGGTCTTGGGGTCAGAATGTCTCCCAAACTACAATCAGATACCACCTACATAACCACAAGTTGTTTAAGAGGGCTGTGAGAAGAAAGCCTCTGCTATCAAGGACCAACATCTCCTGCACCTACAGTTATTTTTGTATTGGTTGTTTTTGGAACATTTTGTAAAATAAACATACTTCTAATTGTGGATTTTATCATTTTATCGAAAATTGTTAGAACAAAATTAACTCCATCGTATTTCACCTTGCACACCAAACTTTCTACAAAGTTGATAATTCAGAAAACTTTGTGTTGCAGCATCTCAAAATGACAGCATTCATTACTTCTACAAACAGCCAGAGTTGGGATGTTATGGAATGCAAGAATTTGAAATACATATTCGAAATACAGACATTATGAATCTGTATTCAGTGAAAGTTAGATTTTGTAGATTGTGTGCTCTTTACATTTTAAACAGAATGTGTTCAGAATACTTAAATAACCCATTCAATGAAAAATAAACAATCTTTAAAAGAAACACAATAAATGCTCATAGCAAACATGCTAATCAGAAAAAAAAACTTAATTACCAGTTTCTTTACAAACACTGAAGTTCCTTCTTAGGCCTGAGTAGACTGATAAATGAATTTGATCGCCAGTTTTGAGCCTGTTATTTATCTCAGCATTGCTGACCTCTTTTTAGGGATGATTAAACTAATCTCCACAGTAGTAAACATGTTTACGAGTGATAATTCAATAACAGTTACAGCACAGTTTTCCTCAAGTGCCACATCAATATATATTCTAAATATATTCTTAATATGTTACTTATGTTTTTTATGTAAATTGTATACTAAAATAGTGTATTCAGTATTCAAGCCATCATTACTTTTTCAAAGGAGCCCAACTCTGCTCTTGTAGCTATTGTTAGAGCTAGAGGGGCTTGAGTTACAAAAAGGAAAAAAACAATACGGTTACTTCACTCACCTTCTCCTTGATTTTCTTGCTGGTGTAGATCTTTTTCAGGTCCTCATGGACTAGTGGACATGCTGTATCCACCATGGGCATTATGACCACTTGGGGTATGTCTGTTAAAGAGAAGACTAACTGTTTGTGTATTTCAAAGATGAATTCTCATTTTTATTCTTCACCACACAGAAACATGAAGACTCACCCAAGTTACGAGCTCTTTCCCGAACAGTTTTCATCTTCACGATCACTTCATCAGAGATGATGGAGATTTTGTCTGCTGGTAGGACGCTCACCAGACAGTGAACTTTGTCCTTCAGGCCGGGGTTGCTGTTGTAATATTGTTTTTTTTTGTCAAGTGGACAAACAGGATTGAACTGAAAGAACAAAAAGTGTCTTCATATAACATCATGTTCAGTACTACACTGACTACATTTAAACACTTTTGAATTTATTAACTTTATTACGTTCAGCAAAGCAGACAGCAGGCTTTTCTAAACGCTATGTACTACTGTACTTGTGATGTCTGTTCTGCTATAATGTGTCTGCCTATATGTTTGTGAAGCCTTACTAAAACTATAACCAAACAGGGTTGCAGACTGCAGCCATGTGAACCAGGTTCTAAAGGAATAGTTTCACAAAGTGAACTGCACCACACAGAGTACACAGAATAGACATTCAATAATGAAATATAATCATAAATTGGTTATGTGGTTAAATTCTGCTAAACACAAACCTTTAGTATTGCTGTTTTTTGTGTTTGAGCATTGTTCAACAGACTCAATAACTAGTTTGGGTTTTGGTCAAAAACAATTAACTGTTTATAATTAATTGATTATATCTCTATGCTGTAATTTCTGAGAATATGGTAAATAATTTGGAATGTTTAACAACTCACTGTGTAACCATTTCTCACATGGCCCTCTAATATGCTGATTATATCATCTGTGTGGACCCCTTCTGAAGTGCCTGGTTCCAGACCCATAATGTCAGAAAAGACAAATGGATAATAAGATCCTGGTCCATCTTTCTTCAGCCTGTGGATTTTGAACTGGACACAAAACATAGAAGCAAATTCTATGAAAAAAAGGAAACTATTTTTAAAAAAGAGTAACATATAGGCTAATATGAATCACTAGATGCCACTAATATACACATTTGTGCAAATGCAGAATTGTGGTCTCTTATTCTTAACTTATTTTCACTTAGAAAATCATTAATAAATGTATTGGTTATTTGTCCAAGATACCTAAATTAAAATTAATCAATAGAGTCATGAATTCTTTAATAAAAGAGGTCATTACAAAAAGAAAAAAAGAATTTAATCTCAGAGTTTTTAGACAGTGGCACATGACCTCTAGAATACCTTGTGAGTCTGACAGGAATAAATTGCACACTTTCGTGTGCATGAAGAATATCTAGCAGGCTTTTTACTACCTTGGTCGTGAAGCTTTTGCCAGTTGCTGCATCTACCAGTGCACCTGATGTGTTGTACCCTTGGAGGACGGTGTTTGCTGAGTTGATAAAGCTGGACTTTCCTGCTCCAATAGGTCCATGAAGCAGAATCCTCAGCTGACTGATTTCTTGAGTTTGAAGATGGAATTCCTTCAGCTTTTTCAGCATCTGCTCTTTCTGGGCTTCACTAAGTAGGAAGGATACCAGAAAATTAGCAGATGGACTGGCATATCAGATAATTAGTTGATCTACTTTGAAAAAATAAATTTCTGCTAAGTCACTGGTCATACCTCCATATCACTGGCCTCCATGGTTTGTCAAATTCTGTGAAAATTAAAATGATTTTGAAAGTTTATTTGTGCATAAATACACATTGTGTCTTTTGTCTGATTTATCATTCCAGCTGATTTTTTGAAAAATATTTTGTGAATTTTAGATGCCCATCATTCATGGATAAAATGTAAAAAATTTTATTGCTCAATTTTATAGCTGTTTGATGATGAGACATAATGATAAAAAAAAATCAGTGTGCTTTAGTCTGACCATGTTGGTTTTTAAGTTTGCTGTTGTTGTTTTTTTTTTATCTTTGTTCTGTATATTTTCACTGTGTGATTTTAATTTATGTTGTGTTAAACATTGTGCTTGTCAAAAGTGGATCGATACCTTATATTGTTGCTTGGGTTGTTGGGTTTATGTTAACATCTGCTCTTGTTAATTTGTGCCTAATCTTGCTATTGCGATGCTAAACAGAATCCACTGACTGCAATGTCTTCAGTCTGGGGTCCATGTGCAGTATTAAAGTGGTCCAGCTGTGAAGCTCAGTGTGAGTGTGGGACACAGGGCACAAGTCCACTGTAAATACTTTCTTTGAGCCATGTCATTCCATTCACTCAGTTTCAAGAGGGATAAAGATAGCTTAATTCATGGAACTAAAATTAACTGTCACACGTCCACCAGCTAGTGAACTCCAACTCCCAGAACTCCCTTGGAGATCATGTGACTGACGACTCACCATCCACAACCAATCATCGGTCTTCCTTCACCAGAATACTGATATGCTGCACCTGTCTTGTTTTTCCATGCGAGGTATTGCTTCTTTCTTCTGAGCTACCAAGCATTTTTCTTGTATTGCCTTTTGTGTATTGGACTGTGTTTTTTAGATTTTTGTATCTGACTTTTGCCTCTGCCCTTTTTGATCTTGTGGAGCCACTTAAGTCTACAACTTAGAGGGGCCCACTACTTCACGAAATTACCTATAATTAAGTACCTGTAAGTTAGTATGCATCAGAAAGGGTGACAAATGGAAAACTGTTTTTGTCACCACTAGGGGGCACTATGAATACTTAGTAATGCAGTTTGGCCTATCTAATGCTCTGTCCGTGTTTCAGGCCTTCATAAATGATGTACAGTGTGATATGATAGGCAATTTTGTAATTGCTTACAACAACGACATTCTCATCTACTCCCCTTACATTATCACTCATGTAAACCATGTCCGCTCTGTTTTTTGGAAAATAATTTGTATATTAAGGGTGAGAAGTGCAAATTTCACTTACAGTCAGTTGCATTCTTAGGTTACATCATTAGTTCTAACAGGGTTCCAATGGATAACCAGAAAGTAGAAGCAATGGTGAATTGGACCAAACCCAAGTCCATTAAAGATTTGCAATGTTTTCTGGGGTTTGCTAACTTCTATTGCCATTTTATTCGTAATTTTAGTACTGTAGCTGCACCATTGACTGCCCTTTTGAAGGGCAATCCTTGTCGTTTGTCTTAGTCCCAACAAGCAGAGTATGCATTTAACAAACTCAAGGAGTTGCTTACTTCTACCCCTATTCTTAAACACCCCGATCCCTCAGAGCCGTTCGTAGTTGACGTTGACACTTCTGAGACTGGTGTAGGAGCAGTCCTGTGTCAGAGATCTGGCAATCCCCCAAAATTGTACCCTATAGCATTCTATTTTCAACTCTTTCCTGCACAACGTAAGTGTTAATTATGAAATTGGAGACTGTGAGCTCCTTGCAGTTAAACTTGCACTGGAGGAATGGAGACATTGGTTGGAGGGAGCTAATCATCTCTTTACTGTTCTTACCGATCATAAGAACCTTAAATACCTTTGCACTGGAAAACGTCTGAACACTATTCTTTTCTAGGTTTAGATTTAACATATTGCCCCGGATCACGTAATACCGAAGCAGATGCACTCTCAAGAATCCACCAAGAGACAGACGAAGGAGAGAAAAACCAGAGCCCTAAAAATTATCCTGCTGCCTCATATCCAGATTTCATCGATTCGCTGGGCCTTAGATGAGGAGATAGAGAGGTCACTAGAGAACATTTCCGTCCCTGAACAATGTCCTGCAGAAAAAAATTGTGTTCCTGCTGAGTTTAAAGACAGACTCATAACTGGGGCCCATTCATCCCTCGCTGCTGGTCATCCATGTGAAACGCACACACAACAACTCCTCTCAAATGGATATTGGAGGGAATCAATGAATAAAGATATACATAAATCCATGTCTTCCTGCTCTACATGCTCACAATGTAAAACCCCAAAGACGTTACCAGCGGGTACCATGGTCTCACTTAGCACTAGACTAGACTTAGTTAGAGACCAAACTCTCAAGGCTTTACCAGCATACTTACAATTATAGATACATTTTCCCGAAGCGTGTGTTTTATCCCATTTACATCATTGCCCACAGCTTTTCAGACTGCCGAGACATTGGTTGATCAAGTTTTCTGCTATTTTGGCATATCTGAGGACATTTATATCATATATTTCTGATAGAGGACCCCAATTCATATGACAGGTTTGGTCAGCCTTCTTTGACCACTTAGGGGTATCAATTAGTTTAACCTCAGGATATCACCCGTAGTCCAGTGGACAATCTGGATGGGTGATCCAAGAGTTAGGAAAATTTCTGAGGCTTAATAATCATACTAACTGGGCAAGATACTTAATATGGGCAGAGATGGAACAGAACTCATTAATAAGCTCTGCTACGGGACTTACACCATATCAGTGTGTTCTGGGTTACCAGCCTCCAGTAACCCCGTGGACAGGTGTCTCCTTTAATGTTCTGGCTGTAGATGAGTGGATGCAGCGCAGTGAATGAGTCTGGGAGGAGACCACCAAAGAATTGAAACTGCTCTTCAGCGACACAAGAACCAGGGGTGAGACGCACTCTTATGAGGGACTTCAGGTTTGCAGAAGAGTGTAAGAAATTAAATTCTAAATACATTGGCCTGTTTAAAATTCTAGAGAAAGTTAATGATGTCACATACAAACTTGATTTGCCACCTTGTTGTCATGTGTCTCGTTCTTTTCATGTCTCCCTTCTCAAACCAGTTCAGTTCGATGAGGTGTTGCCCGATGACATCCCTCCCCCACAAGAGGTGGTGGATGGAGCCCCAGTCTACACTGTTCAGCAGTTCCTGAACTCCCGGAGACGTCAATATCTTCAATATCTGGTGGACTGGGAGGAGTATGGACCTGAGGAATAGTGTTGGGTATCAGCACGTGATATTCTGGGCCCAGGATTGATCGTGGATTTCGACGCCCAACATCCTAACAAACCTGCCCTTTGCCCTAGGGGTCATCTTAGGAGGGTTGTCCCCAGTTCATGTCCTGTTCCTCATCGTGGTGGAGTTCCTTCCAGCCAGCACTGCGACAGCTCTGGGTCTGCTCCTGTTTCTACATCTGGCTGTGCTGGTGGTGGTCGACACTGCCTTTTGTCTCTTCCCCTGTTTGATCTTGTTTGTCGGCTTTGTTATGTTTGTCTTTTGGTATTTTTGGATTGTTTTGGATCTGACCCATTTCCTGGCAATAAGTTTGGACAATGCTTTAACCAGTAAAGCCTCTTTTTCTAATTCTATTCACAAACATCTGGTCAGTTCTGTTGTGTTACATTAACAAAAATTAGCTGGGCTTCTTGAAGTAAGTCTGGCTTATTGAGTTAGCTCACTTCATGGAATCTGATTTGAGCATAAACATTTAACAACCTGGAAAAAACTCTTTTTACTATTTTCTGTAAACTACTTTTGATGTCTGCTGTCTATCCTTGACATTTAAGAGTAGTTCACACATGTTAAACTTTCTTGCGCATTCTTTTGCTCATGTAGGTCAGTTAAAAAGCATAATCTGTTCAGACTGATGTCACATAGAAGCCACATTAAAAAGATAAAGGCACTTATTTATTAACCAAAAAAAACACATTTGACTGTGTTCAATGACACTCTTATTCATGAAAGCTCTGTGCGATGTGAAAATGAGTGGAGATTTGAATGCAAATGATAAATCCGCTTCAGTGCAGGAAATCAAGTGCCAGCCTGCTAGTAACTCATTTACATGATCATCATTTATGCCCTAATTTATGCATATGTTTCAGTAGGAAGACAATAAAATGACAACTTTTTAGCAGCTCATGAGCCAATATCTGTGTTTAAGGGGTGTGAAAAATATGGAAAATTAAAATTAAATTAAATTAAAATGAAAATGAAAATTACAATGACTTGAAAGAAAAAAGATCTGCAATAAAAAAACGCTTTCTTTTTCTTTTTGAGATGGTAGAATGATTGAGTGATTGTGTAGTGTGATTATGTTCCTAAAGTAACATATTTCACCACTGTATTACTGTAGTGTGAGATGCTTACCTGGGAGTGCAGGGGGAGGTGCGGGCACCGGGGGTGCTGGAGGTGCTACGGGTGCGTGGGAAGCCTGGGGAGCCTGGGGAGCCTGGCGAGCCTGGCGAACCCGGCTAACCCAGAGAGACCTGGAAGGCCTGGAAGACCAGGAAGACTCTTAGAAATTACTTAAGTAGTTAAAAGTATAATAGAAAGTGTGATTATATTCATTTGCTTCACTTACACATCCAGACGTAGGTAGTAACATTTACTCTGTTACGGTTACTTACATTCGTCTACATTTTTCCCCAGAAGAGTATAGATGAATGTTATCTGTTAGGCTACATTCACACTACAGGTAAACATGGCCTAATTCCAATTTTTTTTCTTCATATGTGACACAGATTTGTTTTTTTGAGTTGCAGTGTGAATAGCAGGAAACACATTGAATCTGATGTTTTCAATTCTGATTTGTGCCAGTTACACAAACTGAAATCTGCTGCGTATTTGATATGCATCAATGCAACAGCCAGATAGGAATTCATGCAGCTTTTATGTCAGTCCATTTCAATCTTCATCATAAAGCACAGGAACAGACTCTATGGTAACATCACCAAAACACTTATTACTAAAATTATGTTTCACATTTTTTTGCTTTGGAGGATGAGCCAGACATGTGTGAGCTGTGTAAACAAGTAATCACAGAGCCTTCTTACATAGGAACTCAAACTAACAGCTATTCAAAATCGTATTTACTTTAAGCACTCTTAGAAAAAAGGAGAGAAGCAAAGGAAGTAAAGGGGTCTTCTTCATGGCAGGTAAACAAAAGAAACTGAACTTCCTTTCTCTGTTTGATCAGATTAAAATAAGCACAGAAATTCACTATTTTGACTGATTCCTGTAAGAGCTTGTTTCCATGTCTGCTGTTTGTCCTTCATGTTTAACAGCAAGTTTTCACATGGTTTAAAGTTTTGTGAAAAGAATGAAGCGTTTATTCATCTTATGTCTTAAAATGGAACATGGAATAGTTGAAGCATTTGTGTATACAAATGTGATATAAGTACATGCACTTTTGTACTCAACTACCATGTGCACAAATTATTAGTATTACCGTTCTATTTTTATTCTTACTATTTGTATTATAGACGACATTGTTAATAGTTTTGGTTAGTTAACCTCGAATCAAGCTCTTGCACTTAAATTTACACATACTGAGTTTGATCTTACTTATAAAGATGATGAAAATGATGAAAGATGAAATGGATGAATAACACGAATAATCATTTGCAATCAGATTTGACTGTACAAAACTGTGATGAATAATGGCCAACATGAATAACCACAGAACACGATTAGATTTGGGGTAGCAAATTGGATATGGGCCACTTTTACCTGCTGTCTGACTATAACCTCTGTTTCATCAATCAAACGCAGCCAGTCACATACATACAGTGAACTAGCGTTTAGAGTGAACTCGCTTTGTGAAAGTGAAGTGTTGATTTTGCCTTAAAACAGGATTACCACAATGGCTGAAACAGGGGACAGTGCTGTGGATAGAAATGACCCCTGCATGGCTGTATATTCAAGACATATTTTCCATACAAGCTTCCAAAAGCAGTGACATCAGTGTCTAAATTACAGGGAGCCAGGAAGAGTATAGCCTTCCCAAAAGAGATCGAGCTCCTTTGAGAACAATAAAATCTAATGTTTGAGGGGTTACTGATATTGAAAATGAAATGTTATTATATTTATAAAGGTAAATTCCTGCTCTGGATCTTCTACAACAAGGCACAAGTGTTGCTTGTGGAATGTAGAAGAAAGGCATGTGATTGTAAAATTAAAGTGTGCATAATTTTAAGTTCTTCCAAATGAGCTTGGCACTTTTTCATACTCAAATAACTGTTTAAATGTCTAATTTTACTTCTACTAGAGTAAATAGTATTGTAAAGAAAAATACTTATAAAAAAAATATTCTACTCACATCGGATTACATCCATAACAGCAACGTCCATTCCTGTCCAAAATATGACCCCATTGACAGTATTTCCGTGGTTTAAACATTGTCTTCCCGGTGGAGAAATGCAAAATCTGTGATTATTGCTATAGCACAGGCATAACTTTTAGTTTTATTTCACTAGAATGACATCTCTATAATAACTTTGTGATATTTACTCAGTAACATCAAACATTATAGTGAATACCCTACATGTCCAATAGTATCCAGATGCTCCTTCTAAATAGTGAATTCAGCTACTTTAAGGTGCACTAATTACTGATGTAAGCATTCTAATGCACAAAGAGCTCCATAGAAAAACACTGCAAAAAGAATGGGATGCTCTGAAGGTCACTTTGCCCAATGCCAAGCATGTATGTCATTCATTCATATTCAAAGATTGTATTTTCTGCCAGAAAATAAAAGTTTAAAAAGGTGTCAGGTCAAAAAAGCAAGTATTGCAAGTACTGGAGTTCCCCATAACCATAAAACAGTAACTCTGTAAGTGAGTAAATTTAGTTATTTAAATAACTGACAATCTCTGTATTTTGATTTCTTCTGACACTGATACAAACATTTACAAATTCAGAAATTGATGCTACACTATGTAATTCTTAGTCTTACACATGAAGAACTTTACATTTACTTACCTTTTAGAATAATGAGAAATGGAGCCTCTCAGTGTGGAGAAGTGTTAGTAATTTGAGATGTTGCTTCTCTTCTGTAAGAATGCTTGAAACCTGAGAGTCAACATATTTTATATCACTCAGGCGCTGGTGTGTTTTTCTTTTCCTTTCACTTACAAGAACACGGAAACATTTCAACGATAAACAACACAAACAGATGTATCAGCATGGTGATAAAACTTGCTCAAAAGATCTTATAAAAGTATTAAGTACTAGAACTGCAACAAATGATCTATAGAATTTTACGTATTTTAAGTAATTTTAAGTATTTTGTCTGCAGTGGTTTCCTGAAGACATTTCAATCAGACATTTACCCTTGATGTAAATATTTTATTTTAATTGGAACTAAGAACTAAGATCCACAGCATTTTCCTGAAGATATCTGTATCAGGCCTTTACGCTGGTTTTACATAATGCTACTACATAATGATTCTACAATTCTTTTTTCAGCACTTGTTGTGTTTGTTCACGGTACCTATTTTATCCAGAATAATAATATATTGGACGCCATAGACCCACTATACAATAGCCGCTGCAGTTCAACACTGTAGGGTAGAACGATCTGTCACATTGTGCTGCTATCAGTGTGTTCTGGAAAATCAATGTCTTTTGATACAGTTTCACAGTAGTAAGAGTAAACAGGTTCAGTGCCATCAGTGGATCATCAGACCCTGCATTGACCTCCTCCAAAGCGAAGTTTATACATGCTGCAGTGAATATTGGTGGTGTGTTCTGAGCTGCTGTGTTCTCGAGGGCGTCTGGCTGAACTTTTAGTGAGCGGGTGGCAGGCAGATTGAGAGTTACTCACGAGCTTTTTCCAGCATTTTCAGCAAAACATCGAGCCTGCTCCAGCTCACAGTTGTTACCAGTATATGATGAGTTGGTCTGGCTGTCGGTACCCTCACCCTCCTGAGACTGTGCTAAGAGCACATTGCATGTTGTTTAAGGTGTCATCTGTTTGCCTTGGGCTTCCTGAGCAACTCATCTAAGCGCCAGAACAAAGTTTTTTGTCTGGACAATTTTGAATGAACATGACTGCTAGTTTCATACTTTGGTTAACTACCCTTCACTCCTAACACTTTGCTCGGCTACTTCTGCTGCTTGAGTTAGCCTAACCCAAAGCTCACCGACATGTTGTCTTAGTACATTTGTATCAGTGACGGTTATTGTGCATCCAGACCTTTTAATGTCTCTCACACAACCCTTGAGCCCATTCAGTACCTCTGCCACCAACTCTCATAAACTCCTCCAACTCAAATATGGTACACCTGAGCCTCTCTGTGCTGAGAAAAAAAACAAAAACATTGTGCCTGTTCAGAAATTCCTCAGATGTAGGCTGTTTGTACAACCAAAATGTTCTTCGTTCTGCAAGGTTTAAATCAGATCTTTAGAAGAAGACTAGTGGATAAGGATTCCTCATCTGCAGAGCTTGGGCCTTTCCTGCAATGCAGTCATCACTTAGCAGCATGCACGGTAGTTTACTGTCTGCTGACCATTCACTTGGGTCATGGCACTAATTTGTAATGGGTTTATTTCTATGTTGTGTAGAGTTGCACGTTGATTGAAGTGATGACCCCAGCACATCAGCTTAGCAGTATACACTGCTCAAAACACTTTGAAAACACATCAGATCTCAATGGGAAAAAACCCTTGGTCCAGGTACCGCACCATGGTACTAGTAGTGACGCTGACCTAAGCCAACTGCAAAACTAGTGAAAAATCAGTCTGAAAAGATGAGGAGGGACAAAATGTCAATGGCCTCCACCTATTAAACCATTCCTGTTTTGGGGGTCATCTCATTGTTGCTCCTCTAGTTCACCTGTTGTTAATTTCATTAACACCAAAGCAGCTGAAACTGATTAACAACCCCCCCTGTTACTTAACTGACCAGATGAATATCCCAGAAGTTGAATTGAGTTGATGCTATACTCTGATTAAAAAGTGTTTTTTTTTTTGTTTTTTTTTTTGAGCAGTATATTTATTGTCTCAGCCTGCATAAAGAGCAGAATGGATAGACAGGAAATCCAGATAAAAAAACAATTATATATTATAAGTCTGCCCCCTCAATGACTTGCTTGTTTGTCTTTAAAGTGGAAGAGAATAGCTTAGTTCAGGGGTACAGCTTCAGTTGAACTCCAGTTTCTACTGAAGTTTCTGATATTTACACTGCCATTTCACACTTGTTACTGTATCTTCCAATATATTACTTTAGCCATAGTGCTGCATTTGACCCAGGGGTTTGACATGCTTTGCTTTAACCTGATTTGTCTTTATGTGGCACACACATATTTTGTCCTGGTCCTTGGACGATATTTGTAAAGCTTTACATCAAGTTCATTTGCATTCTGACTTAATTAATTGTATTTTTAAAGTTTGAGTTTTATACAAAGATGGAATAACCTTTGTTTTTGGGTAATTTTTTAGACATTTTTTTATAACTTTTTTAAGCAGTAAGCAGAGTCAATGCAGCTAATGCATAACTGCATTAGAATATAGTACCATTTTGCCTCGTCACATTACTGAAGATGTACCCTTTAATGTACCACCCCAGTGACAGTGCCTGTACTCTCAGAGGTATATTTTTTTTTGTTTTAATATAGGGGATGTGTATTTTTCATGTGGGGGCCTTTGAGGTGACAGGTTGAAATGATGACGGACAAAAGAATGGGGTTAGAAACCCTCCATTTATTTAAAGCTAAGCCATATCTCCATTTATGCATGGGTTTCCATGTACAGGGTTATGTATGTTTAGGGGAAATAAACTGGAACAGCACTGTTTTGTTATTTTTAACACAAAAAAGAAAGTTCCCTAGATGTCCCTCTACCCGTGCTAAGAAACTCCACTTGCAAATCTTTCTTCAATGGTCAGTTTTCCATAATGTCTAATTTGTATGCCAAATCATTTCTAGTTATGACTTTACGGATGTCATTACCCCAACTATATCAACTGTATCTTATATATTTAATTGAAATTGAGGCCTCTATCAATTTATCTTAACAACCTGCATGAACTGACCCTCCTGATGCTGCGGCTACGCAAACTATTTAATAATAGCCATTGCTTCACCTGTTTTTCCCCTTTTCTGTATTTTAATATTTTATAATAAAATCAAAACCTTATCCTCGGTTCAATTTTCTCTTGGCTTGCTCATTGGGGCTCGGACCCAGATTCTTCTGTAAAGCTGCTTTGTGACAATGCCTGTTGTAAAAAGCGCTATATAAATAAACTTTGACTTGATTTCACCTCATTTTAATAAACTATAACAAAATAATGACAGTAAGACAGAAACAGTAAAAAGGTCATTGGTTTATTGCATGCTTACTGTGATTTTAATATGTGGCGACCCCCGTTATTGTAAACCAGACTACGCCACCCCTTGGTTTATACCTAGAGCAAAGGGGAGCGCTGACCGTAGTAACTTCACAAATGCAGGTTCAGGAAAATACAAAAAGACAATCTTTATTAAAGGAAGCTGAGGTCATACACTGACTGTCCAATGTCTACCATTCTAGTGAACACAGCAATCCATCCCCAAACATTCCTCAGTCCCAAACTCCCTGGATTAAACTTAACCCCATATAGACTGGAATATAACTAAAAAAATCATAATAATAAAAAATAACTAAAAGAATTTGCAATCCCTCTAGCCAGTGGCTCACAATACACCAAACACCCGTTTGCACACACAATATGGCCACAGGCTAGAGGGCAGCTTAGGCAATAAAATACTTTCCTTTAAAGTTAGAGCAGCATCACAACTGAAACTCAATAATGAAACAAAGAATAAAAGTGGTAAGAGAACAGCAACTGGCACAGGACACGCTGTAATCAATCTGGGGTACTAGGGCCAATGATGTAAACTGGACGCTACAGTTGGTGCTGGCTTTGCTCCAAATTCACCATGCTATCACACTAAATGAACTAAAACCTGCAGTTTTCAAGTGGCTAAAGCTAACAGGACCCAAGCTTCAGCAGCGCCCGTCCACCAGCGCCTCGACACTTGACGTAATGAAAACTGAACCCGCGGTTCTAACAAGGAATGCTGACACCAACACGCCCGCCAACTTAGCCTAGCAGCAATGAACCAAAAACTGCTACCAGGGCCCCAAGGTGTTTGTATATATGCCTGCCCCAAAAACCCCAGGTGGCTCTGTTCACGCCTGCTCTCATCCTAATTACTGACGTAGCACACAAAGAAAAACAAACAGAAGGTGTTCCACTACACAGGCTACACGTAATTTGTATATTAGGATTATTACAAGATCAACAAAAAGAGCAGTGGCATTCAACATTTAATTGGTAAATTAAAATGATTAGTGCACATGACCAATCCAATTAAGTGTGAACATAACCAAGCATGTAGTGGTAAACACAATTCAACACCATTTGCATATTAAATATGACACAGTTTACTTACCTTTTTTTAAATCATTCACACACTTATTTTTAGAGGTCACTCACTTTTAGAATTAAGCAAGGAGCTAGCATCGGAGCCTAATCTAAAAAAAAAAAAAAAATCACATGGTCTCAACACAAGCTGATTTAACAGGTGGGCTCTGTAAATGGTTCCATTTTCAGTTTATTAAGGCATTCAATATACCACAAATTGATTGGTTGTGTGGACTAGTCATTTTTTATTTACCAATTAAATGTTGGTATATTTAAATTATCATTACTGTTGCTGATGTAATAAATACATGAGTCATTAAATAATAAAATGTCACAAGTATTTAATTAACAAGCAAAACTTTTCATTTTTTCTATTTTACTGTCATTGGCCTTTTGTCATAGTTTAATAAAATAAAGTGAAATCATTAACATAAATTGATAGAGGCCTCCATGTAATTTAAATATATACTTTGCTTCGATTAATAACTTCAAAAAGCTATAACTAGAAATGACTTGAAATACAACGTAAACATTCTGTAAAATTTAGATGACAATGAAGGATTTATATAGGGGAGCTTCTTACCCCTGATTTTTAGTTAGTGCAGCAAAAACAAAACTAAGTGTTGTTCCGAGCGAATGGTTCCAAGTGCTGCAGGGCATAACGTGTAGAATCTTTTGTTGCATCACTCACTACAGTGTACCAAACTGTCTTCATGAGCAACATTAATGGGTTTCCATGACTAAGCAGCTGCACACAAGCCTATGTTCACATTAACAGGCTAAAGAGGCACAAATCAGATTTTTACTCTAATGCGACACAGATTTGACGTTTTCAGAGCTGTATGGACACACAAATCTGATCTTTCCGATTCCTACCTGAGCCACTTATGTGGTCCTAGATCAGATACATATCTGATTGGTTTAGGATGTGTGCAGTGCTGTAAACGATGAGCAGATGAACGACTCACAGATTAGACGGCTTACTCCTAGAACACTGGCGCCATCTACTGAGCTCTCATTTATGATGTTCCTGCTTTCTAGCTGCTTTCCAGAAAAGGCACTCTAAGAAAAAGTAATAAATAGAGTAAACTCCAGAATTATTGGCACCCTTGGTTTAAATGGTTAAAAATCTCACACAGAAAATATTTTTAAAATTTAACCTTTAATTGAAGTAAATGTAGTTTACGAAAACAAAACCCCCTATAAAAAATGAACAAAACTGCATGTGTTATAATTATTGGCACCATCTGCATTCAATACTTTGTGCAACCTCCCTTTGCCAACAGAACATCAAGGAGTCCTACAATGTGTGTTGAGATTTAAAAATAGAGACCCTTGCTAATTGAGGAATCTCTTCAGATCCTCCAGAGTCCAAGTTCCTCTCATTTAGATTCTCCTTTTCAACTTACCGCACATGTTTTCAGTGGGGTTTATATCAGGGGACTGGGCCTCTCCTATTGGATCCAACCAAGATCCAGTTTTAGCTCACATGGTGACCACAGGACTGGGCTTGAGAGCCATTGCTCTAGATAACCTGACATATCCAATCTCACATACTTACACACTTTAATTAAGATCTTAAAATACACACACAGGGGAGTGCAGGAGCCTACCTCAGTGGTCATTGGGCGAAAGGCAGGAAACACCCTGGACAGGTCGCCAGTCCATCACAGGCGCATTATTCAGGCGAAGTATTCAACCTTGTTTTAAATCAACCGTGACCATGTGTGAATTTTTCATCACCTACATTCTAAAAGGAACGGCTTATTTTTGTGCAATATTATTTCTTCAAGTGACACTTGGATGATGTTATCCGGTGCCTCCTGATTTGTCAAGTCTTGACTGTACTTAGGGCAAAAACTGTTTTGGTTTCATACTTTCATATCGTCTTCATTTGGGTCTGCCAGCTGTGGCAGTAACCTGTATTTTTGGCTTCTTATTGGTTGCTATTGTTTTGTATTGGTGGTTAGTGTTGGAATATGCAGGGTGATGCCTGTAAGGCTGTTAGGAATAGCCTAACAAGTCCCACTCTGGCCCTGGCCTTACTTAAAGGAATCATTTGATCTGGTGTTTAGTATTGACTAAAATAAAAATCTATTTGTTTTGTATTAGTAGAGATTCCAACAATGTCCCTTTCGAATTCTTGTAAAGAAGATCAAACATGTAAGATGCATGTAAGGGGCAGATGCATGCCACAATGAGCATGTACTTTTAAACTTCTATTCAATAAAAAAGCCAAAATACAGTGAGTATAGTCTATTGCATATGTTATTGTGTTTTTCTGCTGTTTTTCACAAACAACAAACTTTTATAAAATAATTCCCTAGCCTCACTCATTCAGGAGTGATGATGTTATTTTTTTTTTTATTAGACTTCATGTTTAGAACATGTTTTAACACATTCGAAACCCTGATCAGGACGTGTACTTCTTTATGGCTTAAATACAAATGTACAATTTAACATTTTCATAGTACGTTCACTGACATAATGTCAAAGTATTGGTGGTTTTATACCACTGAGGTTGATTGTTCATCTTTATAATTGTATAGGTTGGAAACTGGGACCTTCCCAGAGAGCTACTTGCACAACCAAATAAGACAAAGACCCAGGTGTTCTCGCAGAGGTAGAAGCCCAGGACCTTGATTTTTGTGTTTGGGTCCAGCCTAACCACAAACATCTCAAATGCCACACTCCTGAAGACTTCCCACCTCATATTAGTTCATGTACAGTACAAGAGTATTGGTCATGTACTGGAGTATGGGCTAAACATTGAGCTATATGATGCTTTATAAAATAAACCATTAAATGGGTGTACTTTAACATGCTTAACAACTCCAGCAGACTATGAAGAAATTTGTTGTTCTGTTTTTTTTTTTCTTTTCAGGAAAACCATACAGACGATGAGAAGAAACCTCGAGGAGCTGGGCCCAGATCTGACTTTAAAAATGCACAACTTTGGCCCAGTTGCAACGGATCTTTGCCTGTCTTTTGTTGAGGATCTACTAAAGTAGTTGCTTCCTACAATAATGTAATGTTTTATTCAGTTGATTAATATATATTTTTTATGTTGATTTTAATAAATGTTACTTTCTTTACATAAACAGAAAAACAACCTACAGCAGATTTATTGACAAGTTTAAATAAGACATACAATAGCATTGTTGTTTATTAAATAGCGACCATGTGAAGATGATGAAGGAGACTCCGCTGACACCGTCTTCCTTGTATAAGATGTTTATTACAAAGTAAAACAGTATCATATCAAGCACTGTGTAGCACTGTCTGTCCCCCCCAGACCACTATAGCCAACGGCTTATATATGGTACTTGTTTTCGAAAAAGGAGACAGAACATATGGTCCTTATTAAAAGGATCTCATCTGTTTGGAATTTGGAGAAGAAGGGAGAAAGTGAGAGGCCCACTCCCTATGGGGGTCTTTGGACCAGGGACCCCCTTAACTTAAACATTCCCAACCTGCAAAAACAGGACACATGGTACTTCAGACACTACAGTATCAACTTATACTAAACGTTAAGAGTGTTTTTACCTTATTTTACAAAGCCACTCTTTTTCAATATACCTCATATGTCCCCCTTCGAGGCTTCCGCAAAGTCTCGAAAAAACAAAAAGTAACACATACATGTATGCAGTTGTAACAAAATGACAGTTCCACCTACACATGCTTCCTACTGCATGAATTTAGCAATACAACAACTTTCTGGAGAGCGAAAAAACCTGTCCATCAAACAATCTAGACAGGAAATATTCTCTCACGGCTCCTCTGCCTTAGGCGACCACATAGAGTACTCCAGACCACTTTAAAAAGGAGGAATTTTGACAAATTGTATATGGATATGACTTAAGCAAATACATATGGAAACCTCAGAAAATAAAATCAAAACAATGTCCACATTCAGGCTGGTCGACCCATCGGACCTTTCAATGGACCTTTCCGAAAAAGCACCCGAAAAAAGAAAAAAAAAACATCTGAGGTCCCAATGTACTTACCTCATAACAGAAAACATCAGTCTTCAAACAATTAAACAAAGAAAGTGTTATAAATTTAAGTACTACTCATACAGTAAACAACTCAAACACTCAATCCAACTAGTATGTCTTACTAAGATTATCACTTCCTTATAAATGTCCTCTATCAATATCACAAATTACAATATAATAGAACAAAATCCAATACTATGGAAATATATATAAGAAGACATAAAAATGTATCACACTGCAGCTCCTTAGCAGAGTCGACTCTCAGTGTCGATGATGTGTTGACTCCTGGGCATTGTATCACAGTGTCCTTATTCAAAGTCCTTCAGTCCATTCTTATTGTCCATGCACATTGGGATCCCTAAAGATCAAACCACCCTTACAGTGGTCTTCCCCCAACATAATTCTTGAAGGAAAGAAAAGAAAACCACCAACCAGTATCTTTTGCAAAAACAACAGATGCAAACTGAAACATCAAATACAGATTAACACCTTATAAGTAAATGTGAAATTCACAGTATCATATTTTCACCTTATTCCAAGTTATAAACCACATTTTCTATTTCCCCCTGTTATCATCCCACTCTATAGTAAGAGACTACTAAATACCCAAAATAGTAACAGAAATAAATGTTAAGACTATAATAAGAGTAGATATTCAAAATTGATATTTCTCCATCAGTTCGCCTTCTGTCACCACTTCTTCGTCATCGTCTGCGTCAGTCCTATGAAGGTATAAAACTTATGAGCCTTTCTTTGGGGGACATTTTCAGATCTAATAAGACGTATGAGCCTCAGAAAAGAGGACTTTATGAATTTACATAAAACTTATGAGCCTCTTTCGAGGGGACTTTTGTAGGGGTAAATTGTATGAGCCCCCAGGAAGAACGTTTATGATTGTGGAGAGAAGTGGAGAGGCTAGTGGGGATGTTTGTGTGCATGGGTAAGGAAAAATTTAATAAGTATTTAAGGTGTTATTAGAGTGACATACACTGATATTTCTTTATTGATGATAACTTGGTGTTTAAAGGAGGAGAACATTTGTTGTAGATAAAAATGACCTAAATGTTGGCAGATAACGTGCATGAATCATATTGAATTGCTTATTGTGTTGTTAAAAATACCTAGTGGGTTCATTTGATACTTAATTCTGATCTGTTTCTTCCTTTATCCACCTATGATGTGTGAGAATTGGAGGGGAGAAAGAGAAAGACAGAGAAAATGATGAGCGAAGGAGAAAGATAGAAAGAGAGAAAAAGAGAGAAAAGTGTATGTAGAGAGAGAGAGAGAGAGAGACAAAGAGAGCAGGCAGCAGGTCAGTGCTGACATGGAGTGAGGTCTGATGATTTAGGAGGCACAGGGGTTAGCTCATGTTGCAAGGGGGGAAGTTGGGAGAAAGATTACAAAGGAGAAAGAATATGTACGTACATTTTTGACAGGCAAAGAAAAGAGGAAGTTCAGGAGAGGCTCGATGAGCAAAAGAGGAGCACAGTGCAACCTGGAGACAAGGTGTTCGTGAAGGTATTTAGAAGGAAGTGGTATAATGAACGCCGTGAAGGACCATTTGAAGTTGTTCGCAGTACTGAAACTGCGGTCCAGGTTAAAGGGTCTCCAACGTAGTATCATTTATTGCATTGTGTCAAAGCGCCAAGGGAAGAGGCGCCACGCTTACAGAGTCGAGATGCTGAAGGCTCAAGAGAGCCAGAAGAAAATGTGGAAGAACATGCAGAAGAAGAAGAAGAGAAGCGCCAAAGGTTTCAAAGGGCTGTGATTCCGCTGCAGGAGAATTCAGAGATTCAGTTAGACGAAGAGGTCCAAGACCAGTTTGGAAAAGGGTCAGACCAAAACGTTACGAGGACTAGGGTTGAAGTGACCTCAGGGAATTCTACTCTTTTAGCATTGAAGATTACTGAAGGTATAAAAGTGTCGCGTTTAATTACGTTGGCGCCTCAGATGATTTCGACGACGTCAACTCCTTTGAAGGCGGCCATCAGAGCTAAGTTAGGAAGAGCGGTTCATCTCCCCTGTCGATGTGGAAGGTTTAATGTTGGTGGTAATAATCCTCCTAAGTGGAAAAATAGTTGTGGTGAAGATGTGTTGTTAACAGGACCTGAAGTTGATACTGTGCCTCGTGATCAGAGGAATGATCTGTTGTTTAATGACTGGAGGTGGTTAAAGTTAGGGATGATTGTTCACTTTTTGTGTGTAATGTTACATGGGAAGACCAAGGGGAACACATGCACTTAATTTGAGCCAGAGTTTAAATTTGTTCCATTTGAAAATGTGTGGAGAGAGGGTTATATAACTCGTAAGGTTGTAGTTGTGATAAAAGATTTGAGTGCTACTGGAGTTTTCATGGTTGCTACAAGGGTTCAGGAACGATTCACCACAGCAACCACTCCAAGGGTGAATATTGCATCGATGAAGCTTACTACTTTAGCTCCAGAAACAACTAAGAGCGTTAATACATCAATTCAGGCTATTACTTTAGCCACGACTTTGAAGGGGATGAATGCTACTATAGGTAAGACGACAATTTCTAATTTTGTTACTTCTGGAAATATTACAAGTGAGGTTGGGCCAAGGGCAGTCTTTGCCAATAAAACAGTGACGACATTTTTGTCACCTACGAAATTTGTAAATGTGACACAGACACCTGATATGACATCTTTGAACTTTAAAGAAGTGGTAAATATAACACAGAAAACTATGTTAAAAATAGAGCTTAGTGTGAATAGTAGTAAGGAGATTTTTGAACCTAGAGAACAGAAGGTGGAAGAGCATGATGCAGATAACTGTCTGCCCCTATGAAGCCATCAAGGCTGATCCTGTGTTGGAAACAGACTCACCAATGGAGACTGCATGGCTATGTGCTTGATTTTAGCATTTTGTTAGCAATGAGTGTGACTGAAACACATGAACTGAATAATTAGGAGGAGTGTCCACAAACTTTTGTCCATATGGTGTACTTCAATGTGTTACATTGAAATGCAGCACTTATGCAAATCTCACTGTAATACTGCATGAGGCTGTGATGTAGCTTGTTCATACCTGAGCTCTGTTAGTGATAAACTGTGTTAAGGAGTGGGGATTGACAAAAGTGTCTTTTTATGTCTTAGTTGCTGTTGTTCTAAAGATTGAGCAAGTCTTTGTTTTTCAAAAGTATTTTTGTTGTGCAGCAGAGAAAAACACCTGCAGTGGCTGAGGGTCACTTAATCAGACTGAGCATAAACACAGATTTAAAAAGATATTCTCTGCTTTTATGTTCTTTTTGATTATGAAGTCTTTCTGTTATTTTTTAGGTCAGATTCAGAAAAAAAAGAAAAAGAAAAGATGAACTGTGTGAAAAATAAATAATGAATCATGACTGTTGAATTAGATTGATGTGAACTGAAACTGAATCTACTGTTTTAACACAGGTTCTTTTCAGTGAACTGAACCATTGGATTATTGACTTAATAATAGTGCCAAATCATTCATAACTGTCAACGTAGAAAGATCTCAGGTTTGTTGTTCACACAAATTAGCAAACAACTAGAACAGAGATGTTTATTGGCAAACGTAAGTGTACACCATGTAAAACGGGACAGGTATAAAAGTATTGGAATAGGTTCATTCATTAGCGTATTGTCACATTTTTATGTGATATTGCAGCATCATTATGCATTGTTACTCCCCTAGTAAACTGATTTTGTTATTTTCTCATCTTCACCTTAGCATTTAATAAACTTTTTCCTCATCATAATTAATGAAGTATGTTCTTTTTCACGCTTGTGCACCACTTAGAACCCCTAAAGAAACAGCCCTTTCACCGATCCTGAAATTAGCCTCAATGCAGAGTGTTTTCTCTTCCTTTTAGTGTGATTGTGCAAGATTACATTCATTGACCTACAAGCCATCAGACAATAAAGATGCCAATGGTTGCCTCCCCCTCATATCATAGATATATTTTGTCTACTTTTGGATGAAAATTTTGTTCAGTATTTTGTCTGTTCTTATATATCATAAAGACTCAATCTCTGAAAAGGCCTTATAGTTTAAAAAGACTATGAAGACGATTTACTGAGAGAATAAACAAAATAAAAGAAAATGAAATGACACTTCTTTATATGTTCATTGCTGAAACTAGTGTCACTACATAGGATATTCTTTCACATTGTTGTGCGCAAACGTGTCTTCTTTATTCAATATCTATGCAAATCTGCTCCTCTACAAAGTCATTGGCAAACATAATGATATTCGTCATTGCCATCAGAATCAAGACATCCAATTGTAAGTCATTGGTAACCTCCTCGTGGTAGTTCTTCACAGGGAAGATACAGTTCATTGGGACCCCCAGTTTGTCACTGCACTCCTGCATCTGTATGACAAATACAACAGAATTTTGTTCAGTGCGGTTATGACTCACATTCTTATTCTTGTGACTGTATCTATCTTTCAAGATGTATTGCATACCAAAAAAGACAAAACAGACTTCTTGCTACAAAGTTGATAATTCACAATTCAAAATGATCATTTTTTACCTTCACGCTTGACAGTTCACCTTACCACACTATGTAGCCATTCAGCAGGATATTTTAAATTTTTCATCAATATAATCAGAGAAAATAGTTTCCCCCCCCTAACTCTGCTATCATGTTAACTAGGATACTCTGTGTATAATATGTTGTCACTCTATGTTGAGCTGCTAGGAAGCAATGAGGGGTGAAAGAGGAGGGGTGTGCTGTGAAATTAATTCACACTTCTCCATACAAATGGTGCACTGAGATAAAAACATCCAGCACAACTGCAGCTTTCTTGACATAAAAAATCAAGTACAGCTTCCACAATAATAAAAAAAACATTTAGTCACAATAAAACATTTATAAATGTTAGTATGCTCACCTATGAAAATTAAAATCCAGAATTTTATGAGTACCGTGAAATGTAGTAAAACTCTAAACACCGCCCCCCAATATTCTGCACACTGTCTCTATGTTTGAACAGACTGTGCAGATGAGATGGAGCAGAAAGCTCCCACTGTAATTTTAATAATCAGAAAGATTCTGCCTTTATGCTACCCGCAGAACCTGTCATTCCATTTGACTCACTCACATTTTCACTTCATCCTCTAAACCTGCACTCAGTGCAGCATCAGTGAGCCCAAATTACTGGTGGATTAGCCTTCTCGCAAAGCTAACATTAGCCTCTGGTGCTAACAAGGTTATGAATTAAAAGTAGGTTAATCTAACAGCTTTAAACTGAAAAACACAGTTTTACAAAATCAGATTTGAGTCTTTATTCTTTAAACTTACATAGAGGTTTTATTGAACCAGAACGTGCCCGCATGGTTGTGTGTAAAGCTGTATAGGCCATGCTGCTAAACTAAATCTAACGAGGATATGAATTAAAAGTAGCTTAAGTTAACAGCTCCACACATAAATAAAAAGACTTACCTGCTCAGATTTAAATCTTGTACCCACTGAAGCTTCAGTGAGCTGGAATGATGTGGTGTGAAACTGTAGCATGCAAGTTACAGTGCAAGGGTGAGTGCTACTAGAAAAACTCTACACCATATTTGACGGTTAATTTAATAGACGTGAAATATAAAATGATATAATTTGTCGTGATCTTAAATAATTTATACATTTTAGCTAACAACTTAATGCACAGTCCAAACATTTCAAACAATTGAGTTAGCACAGGCATGTTCTGCAGCTGTGGGTGAGTTTCCTGTTTCCACCAGGTTGTAATTGTCTCATTAGCATGATTTGGTATGTTGGATGTTGTGGTAGGTTCAAACTCATTCTTGGCTTACAAAAATAAGCTACTATGTAGTACCTCACAAATCACCTTTTGCAGATGTACTGAGAAAGCCTGTGCTTTCAAAGCAAAAAAGTAACTTTGTGCTACGGTAACACACCACACAAATATCAGCCCATGGTGTACACAACATGGCTACTGTACTCACCTTCTCTTTGATTTTCTTGCTGGTGTAGATCTTTTTCAGGTCCTCTTGAACTAGTGGACATGCTTTATCCACCATGGACATGATGACCACTTGAGGTATGTCTGTTAAAAAGTATAAAAACTGCTTGTATATTTCTTACACATAGTTTAATTTCTCATTTTTACCGTTCACCACATGGAAAATGAAAGACTCACCCAAGTTACGAGCTTTTTCCCGAACAGTTCTCATCTTCTGGATCACTTCATCAGAGGCGAGGGAGATTTTGTCTGCTGGTACAACACTCACCAGACAGTGAACTCTGTGTTTCAGGCTGGGGTTGCTGTTGTAGTTTGGGTTGTCTTTAGCAAGTGGACAAACAGGATTGAACTGGAAGAACAAAAATGTGATATGTCCTAAAAAAGGTGAGGAAAACTAACTATGCCAAATGTAATCTCATGACTAATGATTATATTTAACCATTAACATTTTGATTTTATTTACTTCATCAAAACATCAAAAGTAGCCAATCACATCTCATGTTTTCTTACGCTTTTTTCTTTATTCCTATATGCATTCAAAAATTGCTTGACTGATATTGAACTGGTTTACGTTAAATAATGCATCTTGTGCACTGCCATTTTGTGGGTTTGGCAGAGCCAAAATCAATGGGTTTTGGTCAACTTAACTCATATCCACTAGATCAGATGAGATGCCTTAAACCATCTTCTGTCCACAGAGATTAATATATCATGCAATACCCTCTAGAAAACATTTGAATTAATTCTACAAGAACAGAACAACAACAAGCAAACTACTGAGTAGATCAAGATGTACTTATCAAACAAAGAAGATGTTGGCATTCTCAGAACAATGGATTGGCTGTTTCAGAACCCAGACCTCAACATCATTCAATGTGTTTGGGACTACTGCAACCAACTCTAAGACTGAATGGAGGTTTGTACAAGAAGCATACAAAAATCTCATTGCATATTCTTTAAAAAACTGAAAGCAAGTCTCATGAGAGGAATTATATTTACTTGTTGAGACTTCTGTGTAATTCTCTGACAAATATACGTTATCTACGATTTACCTGGTGGCTCTTAACTCCAGCAGTGACACAGATGTGTGTTAATCCCCAGCAACACCACTTTGGCTGGTACACTTATACCATGGCACTACCATGTCACTGCAGTGCTGAGAATGGTCCACTACCCAAATAAAATTTGGTCACATTTCTGTTTAGAAACTGACCAATGAGGAATGGGGTAGAGGGAGAATGACAAGCTGTTTTTGACAACAGGTGGGCTACAGTCTGTAGCTGTGCACCTACAATATTTAGTGGAGCTAACGAAGAAGAGACATTCAGACAACAGAGGGAATGCTTTGATAGCTATGTAGGTGTACAGTTACTAATAATCAATAATTGGGCCTCATAAAAAGACCAGTGAGCTGAAGTGTTTAAGATTGCTATAAAAAGTAAGTATTTCATTATTACTTTATGTTTCATTACTACTTTATGTTTCATGCACCAATCAGGCATAACAATAATAATAAATATGACCACCTCCTTGTTTCTTGTTTAGTGGTCAGGACCCCCATGGACCCTCAAAGAGCAGGTACTATTTGGGTGGTGGATCATTCTCAGCACTGCAGTAACACTGATGTGGTGGTGGTGTGTTAGTGTGTGTTGCGCTGGGGGTCCTGACCACTGAAGAACAGGGTAAAGGGGGGCTAACAAAGTATGCAGAGAAACAGATGGACTACAGTCTGTAACTGTAGAACTACAAAGTGCACCTATATAGTAAGATAACAAGGAGGTGGTCATAATGTTATGCCTGATCGGTGTATGTGTTTTATTATTTGTATGCAGACATGCCTTAGAATGCTAATTTGATGTGTAATGATAATGATGAGTGTTTATTAACTTACTATGTAACCATTTCTCACATGACCCTCTAATATGCTGATTATATCATCTGTGTGGACCCCTTCTGAATGGCCTTGTTCCAGACCCATAATGTCAGAGAAGACAAATGGATAGTAAGATCCTGGTCCATCTTTCTTCAGCCTATGGATTTTGAACTGGACACAAAACATATAAGCACATTCCATGAAAGTTGTATTTTTAAAAACAGGGCAATATATAAGTTGGAAGATTCAATCATGGCCCAGTTTTAGCTCCGGGCAAGTGTGCTCACTGCCCCTAGTGTGTGCATGAAACATAAAGTAGTAATGAAACATAAATTAGTAATGAAATGCTTACTTTTTATAGCAATCTTATACACTTCAGCTCACTGGTCTTTTTATGAGGTCCAATTATTGATTATTAGTAACTGTAGACCTACATAGCTATCAAAGCATTCCCTCTGTGGATAGGGTGGGCGGCCCTATCCATAGTGCCTGGGGAGCAGCTGGGGGTTAGATACAAATCTTAACAAGGTTCTCAAGGTCTCTGGAGGACAAATAGCCCAAAAATATATATCATAGATCATAGATCCTCAACCATGATTAACAGTGAGAATGAGGTTCTTTCTGTATAACGGTTTCACCTTTAGGCTACATTCACATTACCAGGTTGAAGTGGCACAAATCCGATTTTTTGCCCTAATGTGACTCTGATGTTTTCAGGGCTGTGTGGACATGCAACTCTGACCTTTTCAAATCCGACCTGAGCCACTTTAATATGTGGTCCTGGATCGGATACATATCCGATTCGTGGCCGTGCTGCCTTAATGTGAATGCTCAGATGCGCCATCATTCAGCATTACTCTGACAGCATTACTCTGACATCATTCACGTGACGTTACTGATTAGGATGTGTGCATGCGGGTCATTTCAGGACGTCGGTACTTTCACATTAATGACAGATTTGAATCACTTACCTAAACGAGTGTGAACCATCGAGTCAGAGTGAGGATTTAAGCAAAAAATCTGATTTCAGCAATGAGGCTTGTAATGTGAACGTAGTTCCTTGTTGGCAGAAAGCTCTAGTTTCATCTAATTTCAGGGGGCGGTCATGGGCTGGAGGTTAGGGAACCAGCCTTATGACCAGAAGGTTGACGGTTCGATCCCCTGAGCCGACAGTACGTGGCTGAAGAGCCCTTGAGCAAGGCTCCTAACCCCCAGCTGCTTCACCGGGCGTTGTGGATAAGGCTGCCCACCGCCTTGGGCAAGTATGCTCACTGCCCCTAGTGTGTATGTGACGGGTTAAATGCAGAGGTGAAATTTCCCTGTTGTGGGACTAATAAGGGTCACTTAATCTCATCTGACCAAACACCAGGCACTTATGTTTGGGGCTAGATGAACAAAAGGCTTACTTTTGGCATGCTTTCCAAATAGTTTGTTAGGCATGTAGGTATCAGCAATGTAACTATTTTTATAATCATTGCCTGATTTATGAAGGTAACACACTTTATTTCATTCCGTTAGTGTATTCTCTAATCTTCCCCATGTTGATGAATGATTAGGGAAATCTGGCCTCTGTGTCACCTTATATTTACAACACAATGAATCATGAAGTAATGAATGAACACTTCAGGACACATAGGACTTAAAAAAAGGGAAATATAGATAGGAACATGTGACTTGATATGAAACAAGATGACAGGAACAAGAATCGGGGTGCAAATTATTGTGACACATTGTTCACTATTTTTAGGGTGTTTGTTTACTTTGACAAAGTGTGCTTCAATAAAATATTTCTTTTTCATATTTTCAGTGTAAGATTGAGCTTTTTTTTTACCCATCTTTTTATAGGTGCCAATAATTATGGATCTTACTGTAACTAGTTCAGTTCAATGTAGGAATGAATTCTTTGTGGAAAAAGAGCACATAATCTCATCTCCCTGTGTATTTAGGGAGTGACAAATAGCCTTCAGAATACCTTCTGAAGGTTGCAAGTCCCAAAGGGAAAAAGTGTTTAAATTAAGAAAGCAGTAGCTTTGTTACTACCTTGGTAGTGAAGCTTTTACCAGTTGCTGCATCTACCAGTGCACCAGCTGTGTTATAGCCTTGGAGGACGGTGTTGACAGAGTTGATAAAGCTGGACTTTCCTGCTCCAACTGGGCCATGAAGCAGAATTCTGAGATAATTGACTTCTGGAGTTCTTAACTGGAATTCCTTCAGTTTTTTCAACATCTTTTCTTTGTTGGCTTCACTAAGGAGGAAACAAAGAAATTAGCCAATTTACTGGCATATCAGATCTCAGGCAGGTTGATCTACAGGGAAAATGTAGGCTATAATATACACAAAAGAAATGTCTGGTCAGCCACTGGTCATACCTCCAAGTCACTGCCCTCCATGTTGTATCAAATTCTGGGAAAATAAATGACTTGAATCACTATGTATGTGCATAAATACACATTATGTATTTTATTTGATATGAGGCATATGACCACCTGTCTCCACATAGGTTTAAGAGTAACAATACTATATTTATTGTTTCAACTGATCTTTAGAAAGTAGTTTATGGACATTGAATGCCAAGATAACAAGCACCCTTGGACTGAGAAACGTCCACATCATTTTAGACTTAACAAAAATGCAATTTTGCATGTGTCAGTGCAAACATGTCACTTTAGGAAAACTACATTTCAATGACTGTGTAACATCAGTTTTTTTCCAAGATTTGAAGTGGTAAGAATTGATTTCTATGATTTGGATTATTCATATGAATTATGTTCAGCAACTTACCTGGGAGGACAGGAGGTGTTGGAGGAGACATGTCTTCCGAATGACTCATGAAACCAAACCATGGCCGATGAGAAAATTTCTCACTACAACATCTGCAGTGTCTATTACATCGGTTCATTGTCTACTGGATATAAATGAGATGCAAAATTATTCATTCTAGTGCATTCTAGTGCTAAAACGCCTGCAAAACATTTAGCTTAATTTTACTAGAATGACATGTCTGTATTATGGAAAGGCCAAGAAACAAAGAAAAAACTCAAAACTGGGAGCTAAACAAGAAAAAAACCATGAAAACTGCAGAACAATAAACACACAAGACCTGTCAAAGGAACACTGAAACAGGACTACATATACACACACACACAAACACATCTTCAAAGCCGCTTATCCTTCTGAGTCTCGGGGGGTGCCAGAGCCTATCCCAGCTGCCATCAGGCAGAAGGCAAGATACATCCTGGACAGGTCAGCAGTCGCAGACTGGCAACATACACATTCACACCTAGGGGCAATTTAGCATGTCCAATTTGCCTGGCTGCATGGACTTTGGAAGGAAACCCGTGCTGACACAGGGAGAACATGCAAACTCCACCCTTCTTGCTGTGAGGCGACAGCGCCACCCAAACATTAAGCCTTTAATATTCTTAACAGCAAATCATTAATCAGTAAATTAGCATGAATTAAACAAATACACTTCCAAGACCTTCTGTGCCATCATTTGCTAGTTTATTTTTGTTGCAGTGAATTATATGGTAACTTGATTTATACACTGACATGCCAAAAGTCATGGGACAGGAACTAGTATCGTGTTGGACCCCCTCTAGTGTGGCGAAGCGCAGCAACTTAACATGGTATCAGTTCCACAAGTGGACAGAAGACGTCTAAAGGGATGTTGACCCATGCCGTCTGGTCAGCCACCCACAGCACTGTGGTGTTTGTAGGTGCAGAACCTCTGGTGTGAATAGACCTCTCCACCACATCCCGATGGCATGGTGCATACTGCTTGAATATATCATCATTATGGGGAATACATGAGGCCAATGAAGGGCTACCAATGGTCACCAAGCAGTGAAACGATCAATGACGTGTTCAGGTGTACCAGTGGACCCAACTTATGCCATGAGAACACACCCCACACCAGCATTGAACCACCACCAGCCTGCACAGTGTCTTGTTAACAACAGAGGTCCATGGCTTCATGGGGTCTGCACCACACACAAACCCTAACATCAGCACGAAACAATTGGTACCATGACTCATCAGACCACACCACATGTTCCTGGTCCTCTAGGGTCCAGTTAGTAACCTCAGGTTAGGTGAGTCCAGGTGAGGGGCTGTGTCCGGTGTTGTGGTGTTAAAAGAGGCACTCTGGTGGGTCTTCTGCTCCCATATGCCATGAAAACTATAGAATGCTGCACTGACCTCCGGGACAATGCATGTGGGGCCTCCTGCCAATATGTTATTTTAACAATTACACCTTCTTGAGTCATCAATTTAGCAATATTGGTGTTATAGAAATCTGAGCACAGAAGTGCTCACCCCAGCAGTCATGTGTAAAGGGCTAGGGGTGCCCAAACTTTTGCATACATTTATATACTTTAGTGACACATCAACCTGTAGTTTATATACTTTAGTGACACATCAACCTCAGCCAGATTGTATGCTGAGGAAGTCCTACGGTTATCTATTATGATAGGTTTATGATTAACCTCAAATGATTCAATAAAGAAAGGAAACAACAAGGATGACAATGGACATCCTTGCCTTCTATAATAGAAAGGAAAAGGACTGGTACAAAAGCTTGTTAGTACAAAAGTTTATCATACAAAGTTTGAATGTCAGTGATTTTTTTTCTCCAAATCCAAATTGTTATAGAACAACCCACAAATATCCCAACTTTCACATATTGAGGGCTTTCTCAGCATCAATTGAGAGAACTACTCATGACTCTGTGATTGTATCAACCAAGTCTATGATATGGTGCAAACACTGCATATTATCAGCAGTGAGATGTCTCTTTATGAAACCAGTCTAAACTTTACTTATTATAGAAAACAACACACTGTCCAATTGGATACATCTACATTGGCTGCATCTTCCATTTCAGACAAATTCAGAGTGCTTAAAAAATTAGCAAGGGTCTGCATCTGTTGGACTGATGTAACTTTTGATGAAAATATTTAAATGCATCATAGATTTAGGAATTGTAAGACAGTTTTTCTGTGCAACCAAAAGCTACATTCAACAACCTTCGTGTAACCCTGGATGCTGGTTTGTCATTTGAGTCCCATACTTGTAATATCTCTAAGACCTTAATTGTACAAGAACTCTAAAATAAGACACATGCTAACAGTACCAGTAGCTGAGAAATAAGTTTACTATATCATAAATTCTAGAAAATACAACTGTAATTAATGTTAATGACAGGATTCTCTGCTGTATTTCTAAACAGGCTCCAAAACTCAGAATGCACCTGCCTTTGTGCTCACCATGAAAAGAAAATCTGAGCATGTTACTCCGGTCTAATAAAATTTACACTGGCTCAATGTGAAACATAACAGCTCTTAATGTCCTAACTCATTACTTATCTGTTAAAAAGTTAGTCTGTCCAGACCAATTCATTCAGCCAAAGCAGGCTTACTCCAAACTCCTAGGATCACTCAGATCTCATTTGGTGGAGGATCATTTTACTTATATAGCTCATAAACTCTTGAATAGCAACTTTGGGAATACAAGCCTAAGTGGTGTTTTAAATGTAGTTTAAAAACACATTTGTTTAGGCTAGTATATGTGTAGAGTATTGGGTGTCATTCTTGTCCTGTTGTTTGTAATTGTACTATGTATTATTGCGTTTAGACTGTGGTATTTTATCTTTTCAGTGTTTTAATTATATTCCTGTGTGAAACACTGAGATTTTGTAACTAAAAGGGAAAGTGCTATACAAATAAAGATTCTGATTTGAAGAACTACCAAGTACAGTTTAAGTTGAAAGTGAATATTTTTTGAATGATTTTGATGACTTTATATCATGCACAGAGATAAAATAACTGCCACACTTTCTGTATCTAAATACCTCTGATTTTGACATGTACAAACATTTACAAATTCAAAGATTGATGTCAAACTATTTACTCTATGTTTAGTCCTACACATCAATAACCTCAATACTTTCACTTACCTTTTGAGTTATGAGTAGTCAAATGAGCTGTTGTGAGTAATGTGAGCTGTTGGTTAACCTCTGTAAGAATGCATAAAACCTCTGTGTCACAAGTTCTTATAATGCATTTCCCAACAGAGATTTTTATAACAACATAAAAACAGTAGTTCTCAGTTACACTGGGGATAATATTTGCTCATAAAGGCTGACCAAAGTACAAAGTACTAGGAGAATAGCAAGTAAACAACAATTTGATTCACATTATTGAGGTATACATATAATATACATAATATAAATGTTTCATCAAAACACCCACACAAAGCTAGAAAGTCTAAGATTACTCCAAACCATAAAAACAAATCTGCATTTTCCTTACTGGTTCACAAATGCTTACTTGTCATTGTATCTTTCATTTGGGAACTTCTGAAATGTGAATTCTGTTTTTGTTATATTGAAAAAATAAGGTATGAGACTATTGCGATTTTCTTCCAATTTCCACCCCACACCCCTCTACTTGAATAACCACACCCACCTACCCAGCCTTCATAATGTCACCGCAACCTCTGCCGTTTCTGATATGATTTCGCAGTACAGACCTGAACAGGAATAAATATGTGGTTGCTGGAGGCCAGGTTTCTAGTGGGTCATGTTATTACATGCTCCCAAGGTGCCAGGACACCAAAAAAGAATAGATAAAGTTTATTTTTTTATAATGAAACGCCAAGGTAAACGGTAATGTTGCTGTCTGCTTGCAACATATAAGACTCATTCATCAATTTGGCTAATACCATGCAGGATAATATCAATCTTCTTCTTAAAAGTGTTTCCATACTAACTATACATAATGTAAAATCTTTAAGTATTACCATTTTGTGATATTAACTTTATTGTGTAACTTTGCCCAATTCATTTTAGTCAGTAACGCTAGCATTGTGTCAGGTGGCAATCCTGGTGGGTCAAAGCATTACAAGCTGATTCCTCATTCCACTTATTAGCCAAGTTAAAGGACCAATAAATTTATGACCAAAAAAAAAAAGAAACACTATGTATAAAAGTGATTTGTCACTTATCTTCCTATGCAATCTCTTGATGTGTTCTTAAAAAAGGTTCTGCGTCAGATTCATTACGTTTTCTTAAAGGTGAATTGTTTGCACCTTTGTGCTCTTGATTGTGTAGAATCTGTTTGTACCTAAGAACAAATCCCAAATAAGAAAACATAGGTAAAAAAAAAATCTTCATGAAAACTGCATAAGTGAGTTTTAAGAAAAAATGTAATCTTTAGAACAGTTGTTTTTTTTCATATTGTAGACTCACCTGAGACAAAAACGCAAATCACTTCATTAGATTTTTACTAACACACTTTTAAATCAATATATCTATATATAGAGGATAACTGCTGCACTTAATTCACCACTTTGTGAATGAGCCACAATGGACATTTATTTTGAAAGAATGGTCATGTAAGCTGGGCATTCAGAGGCTAAAATAACAGTGAAGCATCAGTCTCACTCTTTTATTCTTTTGCACGCTGTAGCTTCTTTTTGGTTGCCCCTTTCATTTCTTCTTAATAAAGTTCATATTGACATATGTAAGAAAAAAACCTATAGTCTAGACTTTATATAAGTCAGCAACAAATCTGAACAGTGATTCCAAACCATATGTTTATCCAATATTTGTGATATTCTGATACAGCACTGCACGCTGCTAGCAACAGAAAGCCATGTTAACTAGGCAATAAATGTGCCCTATGGTCATTTCATGTATATTGTTCAAAATGTTATTTTGCAACCTTTGTGCATACTGTAGGTTCAAATATACTGTAACCAGAGCATATAGAGTGAAAAGCATATTGGTTTTAATCAGCAGGTAGATCTGCGGGGCGACTGCCACTGGTCTCAAGCTTTTCTCTTGTGCAGGTATCCACTCCTAAAACTCATAATATGCCTCCACTTGAGTTGGATGTAGTAAATACTACTGTAACATTGAACAGTGATCAAGATAAACAAATTAGCAATGATATCAGTGAAGCTGTTAAAAGAAATCTGATGAGTAATGGATTTCAGTAGCTTCAGTTGTTGTAACTCCTGAACACGATTGCTAGCATTGCTATCATTCTAGCCAGTGCGGTGTTATGGCCATAGATAAGATAAGATAAGATAATTCTTTATTAGTTCCACAACAGGGAAATTCTCAGTGTTACAGCAGCAAAGACAGCAAGGCACTCAAGAAAAGAAAAGAAGTAACAAGAAGAGAATCAACAAGCAAAAAAAAATATTCTTTATTTTTACTAAAAGATAAAAAAATAAACTCTACACTTCACAAAAAAATGAACAATATAAAGAATTATAAATAAATAAAAGCTAAAATATTTACACTGTAAGGATATTTTGCCTGAAATTTACATGGAGCATTGCACATGAGGTACTGGTTTATTTTACTCCAAATTGATGCCTCCAAACTGAGCCTTGTCTTGAAAGCTGAGAGGGTGGATCCTTCCTTCTTTCATGGAGACACTTACAGTAAATACTCAATCTTTGAATGAGAAGAACTAATGAGGGTTTACCTTAAAAATCGAACGCAAAGGCCAAGAACTGACTATCGACTTAGTTAACAAATTTATGGGCCACACCAGAGACATAGTCAAAGTATGGCTGCGTTATTACACCAGTGTTTCTGATGCTGGTGACATAGGTATGCAGTATTTTACATTCTAAGACAACATTTTTGTTCTGTTGCTTCTTCTGGGATGCCCCTAACTGATTTTTACTCTTCAAAGCCACATGCTACTGAGGACCCTTGATTACTGGATATGGTTAAATAAATCAGCTGAGGTGGCTGAGAAGCATTTCAAAAGTGATGGCAGCACAATGTCAAACCAGAGTATGGAGTTAGCTGTTATGTTTATCAAAAACTGCTCTGATAAAGGTCCTTCTTTATCATTCATGAGCAAAACTCAGCATGAGTGGACAGCACGTGAAGTACAGGGCTGTCTGGGTGAGATTATGTGAGACCGAGCAGCATGTGAGGGTCCATTGTATCATCATGAAGTTACTACTGCTATTCCAAAAATGGCCAGCACTGCATCCTCTGCAGTATCTGAAGGTGGGTGTCAGGCAGATTCTGTGTGACCTAAAGGGAATACTCTGGATAACCTACTGAACATACTGGAGAGGGCCTTGGTGTGTTACACTTACTTCTAACAAGTGGAAACAGAACACAAGACGTGCTTGTATTTGGAAAGTCTGCCAGAGCACTGATCACAGCACAAATGCCCACTGTAGATTACATAAACGGAGCAGAGAGCCTATCCCCGGGCTAAGTAGAGGGCCCCCGCTTAGGGGAGGGCAATGGAGGGCATCTCAAGGTTTCCTCCAATGATAATGATGATGTTGAATCTGTTTATTCATTCCTCTGTGAGACACTGCCAAACACTAGCACAGTAATGATTCAGAACACAATGGACCTATGGAACATTAAGCTAGAGATATATAGATTCAAGTTTGTGGTCCCTGTGAGGGACAGAGTGATCCATTGATTCTAGGAACAAATGTCCTGAAGCCCCTAATCAAACATACAAGTCCAATGATGGTTACTGGCTGGCAGCAAATCGAGCTTATTTGGCATATAATGAAGATAGCAGCCAGTGCAACATAGAGAGATTGGAAAGAAGTGCTAACCCTGACAAGGTTGGTACTTTATGCTTAAAAGTGCAATTACTCCTCTACCCATGACTAAACATTTGGTATGGGGCTATCTACCACCAAAAACTGAAATCTCAACTGCACTGTCCTGTGTCCTGGTGGGGCCATGCACTTCTCAACGTGTGAACAGAAGTGTCCTAGTTGGGTGGGTGGTGACACCTCTGTGGAGTGATGGGTGGCTCCTGGTGAAACTTGTCAATCCAACCACTACTGACATAACGATATGCCAGAATACTAAGATAGCTGACATATATCCATGTGTGATCCTGGAGGATTTTGATGATTACCTTTTACAGAGAACAGAAAACTTACCAAAATGTGTGGAGAGTTAGAAGCACGACTTCTAAATCTAAATGAAAAATATGAGTGTGTCTTTTCACGGAATAATTTAGACTTTAGTGAAGCACGGGGTTTTTGCCATGAGATAATGTTGACTGATGAACATCAGACTTTTTATGTTGTTATACAAGGTCAAGCAGTGTGTGCTTCTGGCCACATTACCACATTTCCTAGCCATGGTCTCCCTTGAAAATTCAGAGCAATTCATCAGCGTTTTGAAGAGATCTGTGCCAAAGAGTGTTTTCAGACCATGTAAGTAATTTTTTTTGGTTACTGAGCTGTTTGTGTAAATCACAAAATCCAACCTTATATTACTTTAATCACCATCTTTTTGCGTATAATGTAGCACAGTTTTGAAGCATGTGACAAGCTTACAGCAAGTGCAAGCTAGGTTTAAGTACAGCCTCTGTACTGCGAGGTTAGATGTTACGTGGTGTTACAACGAAGCCACCTTTAGTAAACAAAGACAAATAAAGTAAATTTAGTCTTTTTGTTCCATATGTTTATACATACAGATTTTACAGATTTTAAAATGAAAAGAGAGAAAAATCTGAAAACAGGGATTTTTTCTACTTTATTAGTATCTTGCAGATTTTAGTATGCTCATTTTCAGTAAGTACATTAGTGAAATTGACATTAACAGTTGGTAAAGCTGTAATTATTCAGACACAGTGTTCCATATTTTACTGACGTGTTATGTTTTTATTTGCTGTCCTACACTGCACAACAAATTAATGTCATTGTTTGACACATAGTCTCCTGTCAGTTTTCGTATATAATTTGATGTGTGTGTGTGTGTATGTGTATGTGTGTGCATCTATCATTTGAGCTGTCTGTCTGTCTTATAGATAGATAATATATAATGCAGCATAGTTGGAAAATGAATTTGTCTTACAATGTAAAATTATTGAACTTTGCATTTTCTCTGTATGTGGAATGTTCCTATCTGGTTTGTATAGCCATAAGCTCTTTATAAGCTTCCATTCAGAGAACTGTATTCCATCAAAGACTATCTATATGCAGAACAGTCACAAACCATGGTTCTCTAATGAGTTAAGGAAAATGCGCACAACCACAGAAGAGGCTTATAGAATTGGGGAATGTGATCAA